GTTTTAATCGTAAGGTTACAATCACGTGGGCTTGTAATCGCAATAACATCTGCTCAGTAGTTCCAACACTGGTTAATAACTACGTTAATATTAAGAACATTAATATTGGTGATTATTGGCCACAAATATACAGAGTTCTTAAGCAAAGAGTTATATTTTTGCTCATGCTCCTAAGAAGGAAAGCTGAAACAAAAGCACTGTGGTATCAACATTTCCACTGAAAGCGTCCTCAGTTGTTGCTTATTGTGACATAAGATATGCATAATTTCTAAGGGAAAGTTGCTGCTAATTAAAAAAAAAGTTAATAAAATTTAAAATCAAATAGATAAATAAAAGTAAGAAAATGTTAATTGCTTCTGATGTTGATGAACACCAAATCACTTAACTACAGAATAACTTTTTTCTTTGTTTCAGCTTTATGGGCCAATTTCACAGACAGGAACTAACTGAATAGTGCTTTAATTGCATGTCCCTCTTTTTGTATTTTCATCCCCATTGTGCTCTCAGTCCTTCCAAACTAAATCCTTCCCAGCTCATTACATGGATCATGTTTTTTTTATCTGTGCACAGCAGAATAGAAAATAATTTCCAGCCTTTCCTTTTTTCATATTTTACCCCACCTCATCCTTAATATCCTCCTGTTCCTGTTCCACTAAGTTTTCTTTTTCAAACAAAAACCCCTGTCAGCGAAAAAAAAAAAAAAAAAAAAAGTGTGGACCTTTCTGTCATGTGTCCCTCATCAGTCTGGTTTTTTTTCTTCTTCTTTTTTCTTTTCAAACAGGATGAAAGACTTTATTTTCTGCCTTAAATGTCATGGCTGCGAAAATGTGGAGACAAAATTAGAACAAAGACACAGCCTGTTCACATTACTAATTAAATTGCACCACTCTCAGGGCTCTTTCCGGGTTGAAGTGGGTCGTGAAAAGGATGCCAAAAATTGATGGGTCCTGTTACTCCTTCCAAGCTATCACTAATCACAAACTGGCACATAAAAAGAAATAGGCCATTCTTTAATCGTCACACGTGTCCACAGAAGGGACGCTCACACATAGCCAGCTTGTGTCTTATCATCCCAGCAAATAGTGTCTTGCAAAAAAAAATAGTAAGATTTATTGAATATTCCACATTTTGCCAAATAACAGCCAATAAAGCCAGAACTTTATTGGGGTGACACTTTTCAAAACCAGGAGTTTGGGGTAGCTCTTAACAGTGACGCCCACAGAATTTAATTTTATTTATTTTTTATCAATTAGAATAGAATTGAGTTTTAAACGTGTTTTGAAAATATACTTGTACATATTTAAAATAGTTGTTTTTATGCAATTAAAAAGAAATTGAATGAGATTTAAATTTGATTTATTTATATAGTGCCGTGTCACACCATCTCATGACACAGATTGAGTTTGTGTGCAGCAATATTAAAATGTAGGTTTAGTCATGACACATTAAAAGTTATGAATACTGGGGGGCGAGTTGGTGGATTTGTAACTGTCTTTTTTTTTTAAGGTTTTATTGGCTCTCAAGGCCTTTAGTTGATAATAAATTAAAAGGAAAGTGGGTAATGAGAGAAGGGGGAAGACATGCCCCTGTTTCTCCTGACCTGTGCATGTGAAACCATCCACCTTCAGCCTGAGTCCTAAAAACACAGACCTACTGTAGCCTAATATCCAGAATTGTCGCAATGACGCTTTGGTACACGCACGTCTCCGAGCAGCATTAGTATTCCTTTCAGCCTCCCGCTTTCGCTCCTAGCTCATGCCGCATCCGCTCTCCTCTGCGGGAGCGCAGCTGACAGCTAAGAGGTTAGCTGGGTTTAAGATGTTCCCTCCGAAAATAGCCGCTTTTATTCTGCTGCTCTTAAACTGCTTTTACTTCACCAGTCAACACAGATCAGAGGAGGCCGGCTATCAGGGGAGATGAAATGCGCTGCTCCTGTTTAAGTTTGAAGAAAACACAGCGAGACAGAGAAAGCTCGCCGTCTGAGGCCTGAAGTTCCCGTCAGAGCCCCAGATGTGTTGCTGATGTTTCTTATCTGCCGTTTTCTGCAGGTGTGCACGCCTGACCGTCACGCTCGTCGTTCCATATTTAAAAGCGCCTTTTCCTGTCGTGACCTTTCCAAGTTGTGTTCTGACACTTTTTAAAGTCGGAGTTGTGTAACTTTCATACTTCACGAAGATGATGAAATTTTCATGAAAGCACACGCCGCTCATCAAGCTGGGCCAGAAAGTTGTGCTGCAATCTAAAATATTTTCTCCAATTGAGATTTGCTGCGCAACACCAGCAGTTGTTTAGTAACAGCGTGCTAGATTCGAGAACTTTAATAAATCTTTCGAGAAGAGGGACTGAAAGCAGTTGAGATTTTGTCTACACCAGGAGGAAAAAGAAAACAATTGTTTTTCTTTCTTTGACTAGTTTTCCATGCAAAAAAGGTCGCTTGTAGCGATGGCCCCATTCCTGAGAAATATTTGTAACTGTAGTAAAGAGACAAACGGCTCCATATGTAAAACAGATGCAAGAAAGGTGGGAAATCTCCTGCATTCTGACACCAACAACATTAAATTTACAACTATGTTCTTCACCTCTACTGATTAGAGATCTCAGTCTCCAGTTATATGAAGCTTTGACTTTTTGGCACCAATTTTATTCAGTTCAGATTCATCTTTAAGAGCTGCTGCATGAGGGGATATAAAAATAATGTGTAAAATGTTTTTTTCTGGTCTTTCAGCTCTGTGCAGCAAGTAATTATTTTACGAGGAGAGAAAAAAAAACAACTAAACAAAACCCAAAAACAATTTAGACATATCAAGTGTTTTATTTTTAGACCTTATCCTAATGTCTATTGACTATTTAAACATTGTTTAAAGATGTCCAACTCTAAACATCCCTTATAGAGATCCTTATTATTCTTCAGAGAATCCATACTTTTCTTTATTTGGAGATTTTTGAAAAGCCTACCAATTATTTTCAAGTCTGCTTTCTTCCATGTCAGAGCTTGAAAGCTAAAAGTGAACAAAACACAGCAAGTTTGGTCTATTATTTTCAACCTACTGGATATCTCCGAGTCAATTTATTCCTTCACCAATTTAAGAAAAGGTTCCCTAACGAGAATTTTCAGGACTTCAAACAGCGGTAGGATTAAAACTGCAAATGGCAAAGGTTTGTCACGACAAGCAGCCCCAGAAGTGTCTGTCTATGTGTTGGAGCCTGAATGTACAACCAACATACCTACGTTGGAAATGTTCATTCTAGTCGCTTCTTCCGTCTCTGTGCTTTCTTTATTCTTAAACACCTCAGTCATGCTGAAAATAGCAACCTTTGACTCCTCTCCCCTCAGAACCAGCCTCCACGACAAAAGCGTCGTGTCATACACTCGCTAATCCGAAACAGAACGTTTTATTTTTCTCTCAATAATTACAGTAATTTGGCTGATTTGCTAATAGGTGAATGCATGTTTTGTTATTATTTCTGATCCAAAAAAAAAATAAAAAAATACAGTGAGAGAACAAAAACTTCACAGACGCAGCATTATCTTTATTCTGTACCGGGTTGTGGGTGTTGAATTAAATAATACCTCTCCAAAGATGAAAAACAAAAACTACTCGGTCTGAGTTTCACCATTTCTTCTGTCGAGAGTTTTCTCTTCCAGTCCCTTTGAAATATAGGTTTTTTGGGGGAGAAAATTTTAAAGAGTAACGATGAGGAATAAAAGATTTTAACTGCAGTCTGAAGATTAAAAATAAAAATACAGCGAGGCATAGTTCTTGCGAACACTTCTGACACCAGATTGTTTTAAAAGAGTCTCGAGGAGGCAAAAATGTTATCTGTGATTCCCAGTTGGAATTAATTAAGCGTGCATCAGAGATTTGTGTTTTTAATGTTCATTACGATGAATAAATAAACAAGACAAATAAAAAAGCTTTGAAGACATGCTGATCAGTAATTTCTGCTTCAAGTCGTTGTGCAGCAGAAATTGGAGTTAATTAAATCCCATGCAACTCAGCCCAGATTGCTGTGGCTTAGCCCTCCTACATGCACAGGGCCGGTCTCCTGTGACTCAGACTTAAGATGCATAAAGATGCAGTGTCGTCCCTTGATGTCCATCAATATTACACATTGTTCCATTTTTTTCAAACAAATATCTGAAATGACCCAAAAAGCTTGGATGAAAAAAAAGATATTGTTAGGTCATTTTAATGAGGTATTTGCATCAGGGAAAAGTGAATATATGCCTTTTTATTAAAAAAAAGGCATTGAAATTCATACTTCTATTGTTTTTTTTTTACATATTTTAATATCAGACAAAGGTAACATTAAAAAGGCTGTTTTTCAAATTGTAGTTTGACATATAAAGGGGATAAAAAAACAAAACTCCCATCCTAACTTGTCCTGTGTTAAAAAACTAACACAAAGTTAGTTACCGGTTCAGCCAGCATTGGTTTGGCCCACTTATCGCTGCTTCAGATGATTGTACTGCTGCATAATCCATGTGCACTTCAGTTAAGGGTCACAAGCTGATGATATTCTCCTTCAGGATTTTCTATTAGAGCACAGAATATATATCTGTGAAGCGGCAGAGCGGCCATTGACCGTCACGGAGCCGTCACGTCTGAAATGCTGTGTTAGTTTTACTCTAAGTGTGATTGGAGCACGCCTATAGGAAAATGGACTTTTCTCTCATTAGTCCACAGCATAATTTCCCCATAAATCTTGGAGATGATCAAATGTTTGACAAATTTGACAAGTTATTCTTCATCAGCCCTGGTTTTGGCCCTGCGTGGCTCCCGTGATCGCCATTATAGGCTCCGCAGTACTTTAGCTGTTCCTCATCTCCTTTTGAATTTATTAAGATGCATTGCTGTTTAGCATCTTATAATATCGTTTAGCCTCTATTTAGGTAATTCAGCTTTTCAAAATGGCATTCCACTCATATTTTTCTTGCTTGTAAAAGGAGTGTGTCAGCAATTTTAAGAAACTTTTCTCTCTCTTTCTTCTTCCCCCAGCGTCCCCATCACGCCCATGCTCTCTTCGACTTCAACCCCCACCACCCGTCGCAGTTGCGCTTCGTGCGTGGAGACCTCATCGAACTCGTCGACTGCTCTGACTCGGTACGTTGGAGGGGTCGCTGTCACGGACGACTGGGCTACTTCCCCCCCGAGTATGTCCAGCCCATTTATCAATACCAGTGACCCCATATGATGACAAGGACACGGCCATTACCCGAGGGTTCGTCCACCGGGCATCGGGACCCCAAACTTCCGCCCCGTGAAAAACAAACGCTGCTCTCCTTCTCTACGGCTTCTCACTGACCTCTGGAGTGAACGACTGACTGAGGCTTTAATAAACTGATTCCTCTTATGTCCATGTCATCTCAGCTTTCACTCTCCTCCGCTTGATAAAAGCGACAGTCAAAAACACACATGATCCCAGGCGTTATTATTTCTTTATCTGTACAAGAGCTGGTGAACCCTTGCTGAGATGACAAGTGAAGACCCCGAGGAAGTTTGTCCCTCTGCAGTATCCTTCAGAAGGACCGCCAGTGAAGAGCAGAAACTCTGAGGTTGATTATTTGTAAGGAACATCTGGAGATGACGACAAACAAACCTGTCGAATTCAAAGGCCATTATGTGAGAATATTGTCTGTTGCAGGGAGTTTAGATGGAAATCTGACTGAGTTTGGACTTGTTGCTTGTGTGTGGGTGTGTATGGTATGTCGTTGCAGAGAGCTGATTATGAACCACTAAGGGAAGTCCCCCATAGTGCAGTGAGGACTCGGTTATGATACAGTATTGAAAATACACTGCTTAAAATGTAACGAGCTCATTTTGTTCACCGTCCATTTCTTTACATGTATTTATTCCTATTCATATGTAATCTATAAAAAGCATATATTGTAAATATTTGACATTTACAATATGAACTTGGTCTGGTCTTCCATTACATGTTATAAGAAATCAATTAAACAAACTTTGAACCTGGTCTCTTAGCATAAGATAAATAAAAGAAAATATTTGTCATCATTTTCTCTTTTGCAATAATTATAAGTCACAATTTAATAGTGTTACACTGAAAAGAGAACATTTTGAAAAAATGTAACCAATTACATTTAAAAGATATAGAAGCATTTTTGTCTTTAAATAAAACAACCAAAAAAAAATAAAGTTGGTTTATTTTTCCAATTTTTTAATCTGGTAAAATAAAATACATCCCCTTAACATCTCTTTTCACATTTTGGTCATATCTAGGGTTTTTCCATTTTTTCTGTTTTTGTTGTGTTTCTTTTTTTTAATCAAACTTTTCCACTCTGACTTTGTTGAATAAATAACGACATCTGTGGTGTGGGATCTTGTACACCTGGGGTGGGAGTTAAATAATTGAAGGACCAGGTAGAGATTAGATCTTATCTGCCTTAAGACTCTGGTACTAGCTGGACGTGTGTCCACTTTCTTTTAACTGTGACTTTAGAGGATGATGACCACAGTAAACTCTTTGTGCCAATCGCTATTTGTTTAATGGATCTAGGAAGAACATCCCCTTCCTTTACTTGATCACTGTTTTAAATGATTTCTAAACACTGCCCTGCACATGGCTGTAAACAGTATTAGGTTATGTTGTCTAAGTGGCTCAAGTACTTTTCACTCAGATGTTTCAATGAGAGCAAAAAGTAATCAGATTCAGAGAAACCCCGTCCATTCACCACCAGCATAAGCACCGATCAAATCATTTGGCTTTACACAGCCGTCTTAATCACTAAAGTTGCAAAGGTGGATCATGATTTCATCAAAGTGCCTCATAATCTAAATATCTACTCTGGTATTTTCTACCACACTGGAAATTATAGAATGGATACAAAAAGGTACTTTATTTTGTGTATTACCTTCAACCCTGTGATATTTGGATTTCTGAGCAAGTAAACAACTCCTTGAATCAGTGCCAAACATGTTCATGGTGGGCAACTAGCTGCTTAGAGTGCTGTCAAGCAATTAGTGCTTGGACAATTAGAAATGATGAAGAAATTACTGACAGCTGAGTGGAGGGAAATGAAATTGAAGATGGGTTATATTCATAATGCGTTAATCGCTGAAGTCATTCACAAATTTACTGGCATAGATTCTATTCTCTCCAGAGATTTTTCAGTGTTTCTTCATCCCAGACTGTCTGATTGTCTTCGATTTCTAGATGAAATCGTTGGTCAAAAGTAATTTATAATTTAAGTATTCGTGGCACATATAGACAGTGGACAGACCAGCAGTCACTTTCAAAGCAAACAGCGTATGGATAAAAAAAGTCTGACTTGTCAATACACTCGTCTTCTGCATTTGATGATGAGTCAGAGGAGAGCTCACTCCAGTCCGCTCATGTTATCTACATATTATCAGGTCACGGTTTATCCAGAGCTCTCTGATGGTGCATGAGCAACAATTTCTCTCTGTTTGAATTGAAGCTGGCAGCAGGGTTGTAGTCTATAATTCCCAGAGACTGAATCGCTTGAATTTGCTCTCCTTTTTATGCTCTTTTCCCCTTGTGTTGTTTTTGTCAAACCAGCCTTTCCCTCCCCCCCTCTTCAAAGACTCACCTCTGGCTCTCCTGTGACAGGTAGTCAATAAGCTAACACCACTCCGGAGGAGAGCTTGGGAGAACAAAGGAGTCAAAGGTGTGCCACAAATAGATGGCTGTAATCTTCCTCTGATACTTTTGGAAGCTGCTGAGCCACTTTGAAGTCTCAGTGTGGCAATAGATATTTGTCTCATACAGTGTAAAAGCTCTAAACTTCACTGTCACAAAGCAAAATGCATTGGGGAAATGTAACTTGATGAGGCAGAGAAAAACAGGCTGTGATGATGAAAAGAACAATGACAAGAAAAAGATCTGGGATATAGCTTGAAGAGAAAAACAAGAAGATCCAGAATAAAGAGGATGGTCTATATTGAGGAATCAGTGTCAGAAACATGAAGAAAATCATCAGCAAGACAAGTTTTTGAATGCAAACAGCGAAGGAAGGTGTATGTTTGTTTCCTCCATTGGTCTGAACCTTTTGTGCAGGTGAGAACTATCTGCCTGCCAAGTCGAGAAACACCTATAATAGAGGACGAAAATAGCATAACATGCAAAATGTCTCCTTTTCTTCTTTAACCAAAAACTATTTTCATGTAGGCAAAAGTAGCTTTTGCAACTGTTATTATTCCAAATCTTGAAGTTGAGTTTGCTATGAAGAGTTCTCAGATGTTCCTCATCACGAAGTCAACGAACAATCTGCAAAATGGTAACAGATGTTCTGCATCATCAATTCTTAAATAGTCTGTGCAGCAGATTGTCATATCGAATCACATTCCACGAATGTATGTCGATCCCAGAGCATTTTAAGAAAGCATGGCACGATGTGATAGCCTGAAGCCAATTTGAACACTTTCCCCCCCAAAGGCACAAAGTTTCTGCAGAGGAGTCCCCTGCCCTGACACTGTGTCAGCCCAATGCGCCATAGACATGAGCAGACTGTCTGAAGTGTTCTCCAAAAGCCTGTCATAAGTGGGGAAACAGCCTGAAAAAGTTGAAAAGGTCATAGATGTCCAATTTCGGCAGAGCATGAAGCAAAAAAAATGTCTAAAAGAATGAATTCAAATATGAACATGGCTCAAATATGAATAAAATAAGACATTGAAACTTTGGGAAATGTGCTTATACAGTGCAAAGTATGTAAAAAAAAAAAAAAAAAGTTGAGATTCTTTTCCTCTTCACCAGTTCTAATAAGCTCCAGGGAAATGCTATACGATGGCTGCTTTTTCCGTTCCATAAATTTGAAAGGACAGTTTTTTGTTGTTGTTGTTGGACGCAATAAAGTTTCTAGTCATCACAGCCGTATGATTTTACTTACACATGTGCACCTAAAGTCTGCTAAAAATATGTGCACCACTTTTCAGTGACATTTCAGTGAGGTCTCGAGGTGCCAAAGTGACACTCCTGCAACATCTTGTTGATTCATTTTTTTTAATTACACAGTGCAATAAAAAAATAATCATCCTGGCCTCTGTTACCTAAAAAAAAAAAAACTGTTATTTGAGATTAAATCTGGTTACTGGACTATTAAAATATGTGATATATTTGTTTTGACAGCTGCATTTTAAAAAACATGTACTTTATGCTTTAGGGAGAGGAGTTGCGTAAATGAAACCGCTATTAACTTCTAATTGCCATATTTGTGGAGACTGAGTTGTATAATGCAAAATGAGGGGAGTGAATACTGTTACAACAAGTCGTCAAACTAATAAGGTTTAAAGATTGTGGGTTATGAAAAAAAAAAAATCCACAGGGTTACTTTCTGGAATGACTGTAATTATTATTGTGCTCTGACCTAAAAAAAAAAGTAATTAGATCTTTATTTCAGTATTTTAAAAACTGGTTGGTGCAAATTTCTGCCTGCAAAATAAAAATAAAAAAAACATGACAGAGCAAGTATAACAACACATTCTAAGATGTGCTGGCGGCTAATGGTTTAATGGGACTAAGAACAAAGCCGGCATATCACCATCAATCTTTTTTATGCCATTCAAAGTTCGTGAAACAAGCCGCTGCTTGGAAAATCTAACACGTCACGCGTGGGTGGGTGCTTTTTTTTTTTTTTTTTACCTGTTAGTGTGGCACCTGTCCCGTAAGGCGGTGCTGCCAGAGGCATGTCACTCTCACTGTCTGCTGGGTGACTTCTCCTCTTCCACACCAGCAATGGCCGAACTTTAAAACGCGCCACTGGAAGACAGAAGCGACTTTGTCTGTATTTTCTGACACGGTCTAATCCCTTAAACGTCCAACATGCCGAGAATGAAGAGATTTGTTTTGCCAAAAGTCTGAAGACGACTGGAAGAGCTGCGGACTTTTAAAGTGCTCGTAGCTGTGTCATAATAAATAGTTTCAGCTCAAAAGAAATGGCTCTCTCCCAGGTCCAGTGCCTGGACGATAACAACGTGAACCCGCGGATCTCCGAGTCCAAACCGGAGTTCTTTTTCTGCGAGGAGCAGCGTCTCGCGCTCGAAGCGCTCCTCCGGGATGGTCGCGAGGCGTTCGCCAAGTACCTGGAGTCTCGCGGCCTGCGGGGTTTCCTCTCCGACCTGGAGCAGGAGACCCTGACCGCCGCTCTTGAGCCCTTTGACCCGGGCGCGGAGCTTTTCTCCGGGGAGAGAGAGGGCGAGCAGGAGCCGCTGTCGCTGCAGTACTGGCCGGACGTTTCGGACACTTCTATCCCTGAAATGGACCTGGGCTGGCCCGACAGCGAGTCGTACAAAGGGGTGACACGCACGACAGTGTACACACAGCCCCCGATGGAGGGTCAGGCCCACATCAAAGAAGTGGTCAGGAAAATGATTGCGCAGGCGCAGAAGGTAGGTGTTTGCAGTTGACTTCAGCTGTCATATTTTCTGTATCTTCTCTATTATTTGATAAATGAACAAAAATCAAATAAAATACAAATGAGCACATGTAAAAATGAACATTTAGTTTTTCTTTTAGCTCATAGGATACCATATTTTTTGCTGTTCTGTTCTGAATAGCAATATGTGTGTGAGGTATGTGGTTCTTTGCCCAGGGCGGCATGAGCACTACAAAACGAAACAAATAATTTTTTTTGTTTTGTTTTGTTTTTTTACCCAATTGCTTGTCCATTTATTAGAAAATACAAATTAATGATGGTGATTATTGTGTGGGATTTTTAGGGTACCACTTGGCCCTTCTCTCTATTTGTGAACATACAAAAATGGACATTTCTTGTACCTTTAGGAAGATGTTAGATAACTATTATGAAAATTGCCCTTGTTTGTTTACAAATGTCCTAATCCACATATTGTAGTCTATAATATATACTCCGATATGTTTGAAATGGTGAAATTTAGTTTCAATCTGTAAGGAAAGCATTGCTTGTTTTCTGAATAGTTGTTTTAAAACCTCTGTACACAATGACCAGAATATCCAGTGTGTGCCTAATGTGTACACACTAGTAACCCAAACCATTCTGTTTGGCTTTATTGTGGGAAACTGTCACATAAGTTTGATTTCTCAACTTTAAAAGAGACTGTCAGGTAACTGGGCAGCAAAATTAATACTGTCTAACTATGTGAGGACCAGAGTCCACTGCAGATCAAGTGCCAGTTGAGAGTAAAGTGCAACGTGATTATGGCGCTTTATCAAAGAAGTACTTCACACTGAAGCCGTCCCTGCAACATTAACGCGTGCTAAGCCGAATATTTGCATGCGCATGTCCAATGTACTCCCAGGGCGCATGTGCATGACTCAACTTATGCAACTGACTCATCCGAGGCTTGACAGTTTATGACTTGTTTTAGTCAATAGCAGCTGTTCTCCAGGAAAAATGATTTGAATGAAAAGTTCTCAGATTAGTTCATTGAAATGCTTTGTCAATGGACAATTGAATGATTTGACCTCATTTGAATTGCTTCTCATCTACAGCAATTTCATTTATTTTGTGTTGGATCTATGATAATGTGCAAAGTCTAAGGCTTTAAACCTGCTACAATGTAAGAGCACCACAATGTCTGCATCAATATACATATTTTAAAGCCTGAACAGGTGGTACACATTATTTAAGATTACCCAGGGGGATATAAAAGTCGTGCACACGCTTATGTTTGCTTTTCCAGGTGGTAGCCGTGGTGATGGACGTCTTCACTGACGTCGACATCTTCAGAGATCTGTTAGACGCCGGGTTTAAAAGGAAGGTGTCTGTTTACATCCTGCTGGAACGCACAATGCTACCTCATTTCCTTTCGATGTGTCGGAGGGCTAACATGCATGCCGGGCACCTGAAGGTAAGCTGCTGTTTCCCACCTCCAAGCCGGTGTCAAAAAAACATCACAGAAATGTCCATGCAGAGGCAAATTAGCTGTAAATTAGAAAATTAGGACTTTACATAACTAGGGTAGGTGTGCCAGTTTGGTTTGGCACTCTCATAACTTTTTGCAAAACGACTATCAAGTGTGACATATAATAAAAAATGTATCTGTGTTGCTGTTGGTTCATAAAATGCTCAAATAAAACACTTTGGATCACTCAGTTGGCATTGAACAAGAGGGTGTGCTTATGGATGTCATTGAATATAATTCAGTATCATAAAGCAGAGAGATGGTTTTGGTAACATAAGGACATGTCAAGTTAAGTAACTGTGACTAAAATGAATTGTAAATTGAGGTCAACTCTCCACCCTTCACATTTGCAGACTCCCCTTGTATAGATGTTCTAAAAACCCTTAAAATAAATGAGTTTTTAAAATTAATATTATTATTATTGCATTGGGACGATCTCACACTAAAAACTACAAAAAATTCCAAGCTTTAATATGAATGCAATTACTCATAGGGGAAAATAATTCTTCATCAAGAAATTATTGTTTTATGTTGTTTTCAACAAATGCCACTCCTGTTTGCGATTTGCATAAAAAAAATACAATTCAAGCATTTTTCTAAAAACACAACCTTATTAGAGAAATCCAATGACCTTGGACAGAAAATAGACAAGTCCTTTGTATGTATAATGTAAAAGTGTCCCCCACGTTACTTATTAGGCAGTTTTTTTTTATAATAAAAAGTGCTTAAATGTATGTACCTGTTAAGGATCTGGCTTCGGTCTTAGTGGTTTTCTAATATTTTCTGACCAACATCTCAGCAGAATAGATTTTAATGAAAATCTTATGGGTGGGAGCTTTTGCTCTGCACAATAATATTTTAAATATGCATAAACAAGTCATGAATGTGTAAACTCTTTCCTTGCCAGATGATGTTTGTCAACTGAGGTGATTCATACAGCGTGTAACAGCTTAACAGACTCTCAGTGCCATCTGGGTGCAACTTGCAAACAAAACAGCAGAAAATGCCAGTGTGTCTTTTGAGAGTTTCCAGTTTATGAACATGAACTTCTGTTTGCATTGCTTATGACGTGATAAGTGAATGCAGACGTTTTGGTTGAGCAAGATTTTCTGTCCATTTCATCATTGTTGCATTTCCCTTCGTATGAAAATGAAGAACATTTTGCTGTCTGCTGTTTCTCTCCAGTGTGTCTCAGTTCTGCCTTTCTGCTGTAGTGTGTGATGCTAAGTGCTAGTCATGCCCTTAGTAATACATCTGCACCATGCACTTTTAGCCTGAAGTTGCCCTACTTTTTAAAATTAATCAAGAACTAGACAGCAATATGTCTCTGTTTCAGGGAAAATACAGTCGGCGTCTTACCATGATTTGAGAGGCGTTGTTTTTACAGCTCTGGTCAAAATGTCTTCTATACGTCTGTCATTTCCAGTCATAAAGCAGCACTCCTTTTAAGTGTGGAGCAATAAAGCAGCGTTAAAATATTCAACAGTTAGAAAACCATTGAATAGATGGGAAACTGTGGTTTGCTGTCTATCAGTCTCATGACTATCAGTCTCATTTCAAAATCATTTGGAAGGATGAAACCCTCTCCTATCGACTGAGCAGCATAAAATAACATGAATGAAGAAGAGGTTTTTCTCCAGAAATACTTTAAAAATTGGCTACAGAGAAAATAAGTGGTAACTGGTAATAAACCTGATCAAAAATTGATTGAAATTTCAAATTGATCTCTATGTGCTACGACTAAATGAACAATGTTTCTGTCAATGGGGAATTGAACCTTCAAAATATTATCTAAGCTTGTGAAAAATAAAAAATTATTGTCAACTTAGGAGCATCAGAGAAGGCAAAGTATACCCTAATGCCCAGTGTTGTCCAGTGTCTGATGCTGAGTCATGACTACTGTGCTTAATTGTAGAAACTGCTTCAGGTCTTGTCAGATCTTGTGCCACTTCCCATATGACTGCGGTTTGCCAGAGTCATAAAGACGTGGAAATGGCTTTAACCTTTTTCCAGATTAATAGACGTCATTGACGTTGCTCCTTATCCCTCTGAAAATGTCATTGAGTAGTTATTTTTTTATACGTTTCAACCTACCTCATGTAAGGGATTTGTTGATTCTACAGGGCATGCAATAATCAGAAATAGGTGTAGTTTGTGAAAATTAACCTCCTTTTTAAAGACAGTCATGTTCATTTATGATCGCCAAGAAAGTAGACTCTTTAAGGCATCATGGTGTTTTCCTCTCATAACGCTGGAAAACTGAACTATAGTATCACAGTAACACCAAGACCTTACATGGTGCTTCAAGGAAATGCAATCTGTGTTTTAACGGCATGTGAGGAAGCAGACAAATATTTATTGCTGAGTCATGTCCTTCATTTCTGTTGGGTTCTGCCTGCAGGGCACTGGAGGCTTTAGCTTTTCCTGTCATATAGCATAGTGGTACCTTGAATTATTGGGGAGCAGTAGCTGGAGCAGAACCTGTTATATCAAAGAAAATGGTCCAACCTTTAATGATATTAATGGTGGTGTACACACACTGGCACCCCTGCAGCTTCCATTGACAGCTCAGGAAGTGTGTATGTGGGGCAGCTGTAGAACATTAAAGAGGAGCTAATGCCAAATCTGCACAAGTGACAAGTCTGCAGGAAAGCTGCGACTGGGTGCCTGAATGAGAAGAAGGTGGCTGGCAGGAAGGAGGAAGACAAGTGTGACAGATTGAGATTTTGCTGTAAGCTGTAGGCAATGAGCTGGAGTTGGTGGAGGGCCGGATAAACAGGAAGGGTGGAGGAGCAGATGAGTTCACATTCGAGTGAGAGAAAGGAGAAAGAATGTTCTTCTTTAACTACCACTGTAGTTAAAGAATTAGAATGTGGAGATTTTCTATTTGCCTCAGTAGGCAAAAAGAAAATCTGAGACTCTTCATAATTGTTAGTTGTCCAACAATGTTTGTAAAATATTGGAGATAACAAGTACAAAGATGGATTTTGCAAAACATGATGTGCATATCCAGTAAGAGAAAGTATAAGAACACATTAGTTCATGTTGACACAGCTAATGTGTTTACCAAGAGAACAAAGAGACAGAAAGAGAAAGTTAAAGGTGTAAGTGAAGAAATACATGTGTCTCAGCCCTTAAACAAGCCATACAAGTATCTTTCCACTACGACAAGCATCTGGTGCACAATGTTTTTGCTGCAGTATTTTAGTGCGCAGTATTTCTGGAAGACACTGAACACAAATAGATTTTTTTTATGAACTTCCATAACAATAACACAGATTATAACAAATAAATACAGAGCAAGGGTACTAACCATGCAGCCACAGATAGAATGCCATAGTTTAGATCAACATATATAAATATAACCCTAACAGAAATGTCTGTTTGTGTTTCAGCATCTTCGCGTACGCTGCACAGAAGGCGCAGAGTTTTACACTCGGTACTGCACCAGGGTCAAGGGGCAACTCGGGCACAGGTTCATGTTCATTGATGGAGACAAAGCTGTGTCTGGATCGTACAGGTCAGTGTACAACGGCAGTGATTACATGTGTATCGTGGATGGATTTTAGGAATAAATAATGTATTATGTTAATTTTAGGCCAAATTACTTCAATAATAGACGAGAAATAACTTCTGTCCATACAATAAGCACTTTTGTTACTGCTATTAAAATGTGCTTCTCAGGTTAGTTAGAAGGTAAACAACCACATTTAATGATAAATAATGTAACTTTGCATTTTTATCCATAAAATATTTTACTACTATACTTTCTACTGAGTTTAAGAAAGAAACCCCATCGATGGGTATATTCTCTCTATTTTGATGAAACAAGATTTTTAAAACACAGTGTATGAAAAGGGACAACCTTATTCTCTTACTGCCTGACAATAAATCAGACTAAACTTTTTCTGTTTACATGACATAATAAGCGACATTTTAGGAATGAATACCTTTATTTTTGGGACATATTTGTGGTCCAATACAACTAAAATAACATTTTCAGCAAATACCGATATTTTTATATTTGGAATAAAAAAAGGATGGCCTTTCAAAACTGAAAACACCATCCACACTGGGTTGTAGTTAGAAATATGGGGGCGGAGCATCATGCTGTTCAGGTATTTTGTTGCAGGAGGGACTGGGGCACTTCACAAAATAAATGTCAAAATGGAGAGAAAGTTGTGTGGAAATATTGGAACATTCTCAGGAACACCATCCAGGAACCAATAGCTTAAACAAAATGGGTCAGATAGTGACCCTAACCACATCAACAAATTAGTTAGTAAGTGACTTAAGGATGATAAAGTCAATGTTTTGGAGTGGCATAATGAGGTTCTGATCTCAGTCTGATTAACAACATCTGTGAGGAGTGAGACGGTCTACAAACTGCAACTCCGTCAGGAGTAATGGGTCAGAATTCACACAGTTCAAAATTCTGCCAAACATGATACTGAACTAAACAAATAATCATCTAAAATATTCTTTGTCTTAATATTATAGCGTTTAGTAATAATATAAACACTTATGGTAATAGAAAATGTTTTATCTGGTTTATAATGGGGAATAAAGGTTATATGTTTGTGTCCAATTTATATGAATACATGTCATATATAGGATTTAAGCCTATTGTCATAAAAGTTTGGATTCCAAATTTGCTGAGGTAGAGACTCAAAGTAACCTGTCTGCTCATATTAATGATCTTTTCTTATTATTTTCTTCTGTTTAGTTTCACATGGATGTCCTCACGGCTGGATAGAAATCTCATCACTGTTACCACAGGCCAGGCTGTGAATGCTTTTGACCAAGTGTTTCGCTACCTGTATGTTACTTCTAGTTTTGTTGACCTCCGCCAAGTCACCACAGATCCTGAGCCTGAACCAGACACTCGACATCAGGTTTTATCTGTGGCTCCTCCTTCTGCTGCTGTTGCTAGAAAACTATACAACCCCAAATATGCCCTTGTTGCTTTAATGAGCCCAAGCCCTGCGAACTCGAATAGCAATGATAGCTCCAAAGAGCCTGAAGTTTCAGAGGAAGCAAAAAATAAGAAGAGGCAAAAGAGAACACGTGAAGATCCGTCACAGGATGCTCCTCCTATCCATCCTGGACTTTTAGGTCTAGAGAAAGCATGCTTACTCTCATATCTGCCCACCTGGCCAGAACCTGATCCACCAAGCGATGTGATAGGGTTCATTAATATCCGGGACTCTAAAAGACCAACCCAAGTTCATTTGCAACGTTCTGAGATGTTTGAAATCAGCCAAGCAATCAAGTTTAGCAGTCCAATCAGCAAGCCACAGGAAACTTTACCAGATGTTGCAAGGCCCAGAAATCGAAATACACAAAATGAATCCAAGACTGATGGTTTGTTGGTGGATAAAGCAAAACCAGAAAAGAAAAGTATAAGTCTTGTTGACAATAACAATGAAGAAGTAGTACCTGAAAAAAACTCACCTTTGCACAGAGAAAAGTTAAATTTCGACAAAAGCGAAACTCAAGTTCCCCAAATGCAGAAAAAAATGGGTTCAGATTCAGATAGAGGTCCTGTTTCTCTTATTCCACATGCACTACCACAATCTAGCAGCAGAGCACTCACACCTAAAAATGAACAACCTTCACATGAAGCCCAAATTATCTCCACAACCAGCTGTTTCTCAGAGCCCCTCAAAGAATCTAAATGTGTAAAAGAACCTGAAACTGCGACTGTTTCACAAACACAAAGTACTTTTGTGGATGGAACAAAAACCCTGAAGTCAAACACTGCACAAAAATCTCAACTGCACAATCAAACACAGTTAAATACAGAAGAAAATAAGATTGTGTCACATCAAGAATCGCACACTAATGCTGCTAATACACAACTTAAAATCTCCTCTGAAGAGACTTGTGACACTGGGGGTCTAAGGCACATTGCAACTTCTCCTGCTTCTCCAAAAAACTGTGAAAGTTTACTTTCCAAGAATAATCTTGTGACTATTACTACAGTGACTTCAACCATGGCTACAAGTTCTTGTAATTCAACCCCCTCTACTAGCTTACCTTTGACCCCAACTCCCTCAACATCTTCTTTTCCAAAATTATCTTTATACCCATCCTCTGCATCTTCTTTTACAAGTTCTGTTACTCCAGACTCTAAGCCTTGTTCTGGGCAACTACTTAAACAAGATAGTGTCAATAACAATACTGAGACAACTCCAGATATTGTTGTTGAGAAGTCTAAAACCAGTTTAGGGTCACAAACTATTACTGATGTTTCTGCTTTAACAAGTTTGGTGCAAACATCTCCAGTAAAAAATCTTGAAAGTGTCCCAGATTTGCAAAGAAACGATGTCAGTAAAACAGGACATCTGAAACAAAGAGAGAACACAAATATTCCTGAAGGTACCAAACAGGAAACACAGACTGTCAGTTCCCAAAATGGGTCAAATCAAGAATCACACAGTAAAACTGCTGATACACAACTTAAAATTTCCTCTGAAAAGACTTGTAACCTCCAAAACCCTGGCAGTCCAGGATACATTGCAACTTCTTCTGCTACTCCATTACAATCTGAAAGTTCACTTTCCAAAAATAATCCTGTGACTATTACAGCAGTGGCTTCAACCATAGGTACAAGTTATTGTAATTCAGTTCCCTCCATTGACTCACTTTTGATCGATCCTCCGTCCACTTCTTCTTTTCCAGAATTACCTTTACTCTCATCCTCTTCATCTTCTTTTACAAGTTCTGTTGTTCCAGACTCTAAGCCTTGTTCTGAGCAACTACTTAAACAAGACAGAGTCAATGACAGTACTGAGGCAACTCCAGGGATCTCGGTGGATGAGAGGTCTAAGACCAGTTTAGGGTCACAAACTATTACTGATGTTTCTGCTTTAACAAGTTTGGTGCAAACATCTCCAGTAAAAAATCTTGAAAGTGGCCCAGATTTGCAAAGAAACAGTGTCAGCAAAACAAAGTTTCCAAAACAAACAGAGAATACAAATATTTCCAAAGATACCAAACAGGAAACGCAGACTGTCACTTCCCAAAAGATAAATGGTAAGGAAACTGATAGAAAACACAACGAGAGGGGAGAAGTACAATCTGTTACTATAAACCAACTTGAAACAAAGTCAGATGTTTATGCAAAAGATTCATCAAGTACAGCCATTCTGAATGTGAATGAACTAATCCCCAAAAGTGATGATACAAAGACACACAAAGACCATATAGCCACATCAACAATTAACAGCACTTCTGATAATCAGATAACTAACCTGGAGAGTGCCAAAGCAACAAATACTCAAACATACCTTGCAAGATGCCACGAACCTCAAATAATATCATACAGTAACTTTACAGTAGATGATATAAATAAGGCACAACCATCGGAAACTTCAACAGCTCCAACAAATTGGATATCACACAACACTTACATACTCAAAGAAAACCACGATGGCAGTATAAACAGTGATGCAAATACACTGAGTCAGCCTGGTAAACAAGCACAAGTCCCATCAGTAGACGGCACAATCATCACTTTGAACTCAGTAAAACAACACACGCACAACACCTTTCTAAAACAAGCTTGCATAACACAAGGAGGTGCATACTCCTCCAGAAAAACACTTCATTTACCCTTTTCCAATGTGCAAGCAATGGATTTGAGTTTGCAAACCAACAAACAAAAATTACAGATACCTGCAGCTGATACACAAAGTTCAGCTCCAAAAGTGTTTCCTTCAAATCTACCTACCACAAACTCACAAACAACCTCGCCAGACCTACAAACGCCTACAACTGATATCAGTGATGATTACTTATCATCGAGAGAGGACTCTACTACCTCTGAAGAGTACTTTGAATGTAGTGAATCTCCTTCACGTGAACCAGTTCTTGACACAAGTGGGTGGACAGGAAAGAATAGCAGCCCAACTAACTCAGATTGTCATATTTCAAGAAATGTTGGCACCAGTTCTGCTGACTTGGGTAATATTTCTAGTGCTTCTGGATTAACCAGTTCAAGTCATAGCACTTCTTCCAGTGAATCCAGTATTTTATCTTGGACTTCTAGAGAGCCCCCGACCTCTCCGCTTGGGACAAAAGGCCAAAACAGAGAGTCAAAGATCACAAATAGAAGAAATAGCAAGGAAGGCTCTAAAATTGAGGTAAACAGTAGCAACACAGAGAAAAAGAAGGAGCGAGTACATCAGAGGATGGAGGGTACAGACAGTAAGGAGTTAAATCGAATGTCTTGGTCTTTGAAAAAGGACAGTGATTTAAAAGAAATGGCCTTAAAACTCAGTAAGGCCTCTGGGGGACAGGCTAAAGGAGCCACGGCAGATGGAGAATCAGTGCAGAAAGAGACAAAGCGATTGTCCACTGGTGAACTTAAACCAGAAAGGGTTTCATCTGAGGGAAAGAAATCCCTTTCCAGCAAGGATAAGCCAACGAACCAGGCTGCACTAACCCCCGGCAATATGGAGATGAGACAGAGGCAATCTACAAGGGAGACAGCAGGACAGAAGGTATGGAAGTCATAAATGTTGCCTTTTCTTATTAGATCATTTGTTTCTTTAGAGAGAATATAGACGTTTTATACCATCTAAATCCCCAATAGACATTGATCAAAGACACTGTAACAGTGCTGAAAAATTAGAAAGTGTATTTCTAAAGCAATGACAGCTAAGTTGAGGTTGAGTAGCTGTGAAAATACAGTTGTCAGATATAATATTGTTATCATCTACCTGATCAAGTGCAGTTCCCTGTTTTATGCCTGACCCACTGGGTCATCGACTTCTATAAATCCTTCAAGGTACGTTGTGAAATGGGTTATAACAAGCCAAAGCAGTGTAAGTCTCAGTGCAATGTAGACTTTTCTGTATTTTGTCCTTTCTATTAAGTGAACTGTTGACCTGTTTTACCTGTTAGTTAAATATGCCTTCTGCATCTCTGCAGCCTTTGAATCCATCACCCAAATCTCAGCCACGTCAGCAACCAGGCAGCAGAGGTTCTTCACCTTCACAACCACGGAGGTCCCCCAGATGCGCCCAAGTTCAGGCACCTCGTCCTTCTGGAATCCATGACCTTAGCCAAACAGAGAGCAGGGCTCTTCAAAGTAGTGCCAAAGAGTTTGCTTACAAGCCACCTCCTCAGAAATCACAATCCAGATCCCCCTCTCCAATGAAAGCTGCTCCTACTGGGTCTGCAGCCGGGCGAAAGCATCTCTCCAAGAGCCAGCTGCTCACTCGGCAGCCTCCAGCCGCACAGACTCGGTCAAACTTTGAGCCGCCACAAATCCAGGCTGCGAAGCAGCAGGCCTCCTCTCTCTACACACTTTCCAGCCTGCAGCCTCAGGCCCATCCTCTTGTCTCGACTCAAGAAGTGTCTGCACAGGCAGCTCAAGAACCAGAAGAAGCAAGGGTTCCTTTTAACTTAACTCTCAGCAGGTTATACAACTTTAAGGGATTAAGGGACAAATGGACCAAGCAGCCGCCTCAGAGCAGGAGAAGCAGCACTGGCACACCGGTAAAAGAATGTAAAGACACAAGTTAATGATGTTTATCTGTTGTCCTGTCATCACAATAAGTTACTGGAACATCAGAGGGGGATTAAAAACTATCTGAGTCCATGATGAAAATGACAATTAAGTGGCTGTTTTTGACATTATTTGCTATTATTTCTGAAAAGTCTGTGATGTGTCCTTGTCAAAGTTTTTAAATTTGCACACTGTTATTACATAATAAATCTCAGATATACTATATGTCAGTCTGCATGGAGTACATGCTGAAATTTGCTGTAAAATAAAAGACTTGAGTCTTTAATTTTGTTCTCACTTTATTTGGGGGTGCATAAGAATTTGCCTTTTTGTTCAGTTTGTAGTTTACTGTATTACCGACTTTATTTACATATTTTTGAGAGGTTTTTAAACTGAGCATTCTGCTGAAGTACATGTTTGATTTGGGAATATGATGAAAACAATGAACTGATTCCACCAGCCGTGACACACAGTGCCTTTTCAATCCAAAACATTATGGCAGTTGTAATGTGGTTTTCCTGCTCTGACCTTCTGAATAAACGAGGTTTTGCAATAAAACATTTTGAAACAACACAGGATGTTGTTCTACTGTCGTTCCTGGCGTGTCGTACGTTCTGTCGTGACTGCTTTGTATTCATTCATGGTGTGTCATCAAGCCTATTGATTCTTTCTTTGTTAAACCAAAGTCCATTTACATTCAAATGCTTTTGGCCAGAAATACAAAGTCACTGTGCCTTCGCCCAAAGCCAAGCACGAGCAAGAAGTGTGGGGATGAACACAGTAAACACCTGAAAGACTTGTCATGCAAAAGACGGATCCAGATGTCCTGCAGATTACGACGACAGGACACAAAAACTAAAATGAACAGGTCATGGAAGTAGATTATAGAGTGTTTTTTTCGGGCTGCACAGTGGTGCAGTTGGTAGCACTTGCAGCAAGAAGGTCCTGGGTTCGACTCCCAGCCGGGGTCTTTCTGCACGGAGTTTGCATGTTCTCCCAGTGCATGCATAGGTTCTTTCCGGGTACTCTGGCTTCCTCCCACAGTCCAAAAGCATGACTGTCAGGTTGATTGGTTCTCCAAATTCTCCCGAGGTGTGTGTGTATGTGTGTGTGTGTGCGTGCGTGCGTGTGTGTGTGCATGGTTGTTTGTCATGTCTGCCTCTGCTGCCATGCAACAGACTGGCGACCTGTCCTGGGTGACGCCGCCTCTCGCCCTAAACGTTAGCTGGAGATTGGCACCAGCACCACCCGACCCCACTAGGGATGAGAGTGTTAGAAAATGGACGGATGGACTTTTTTTTTTTTACTTTTAAATACCTTTGTTTTATTGTATGCCAGATCTCCATACACAACAAGTCAGTGCTTTAAAACATTTTGGCAATTAAGGGTCTAAGAGGAAGTAAGACAGAAAAACAGGCCTTGTTGTCCTGAGGTGAAATAGAGTTCAAATAACTGAAGAGCATCAAGGTTCACAGAGTTTTTACTCATTAATCTAGAACTGAAAGGTTCCTGTCTCCGTCTTCTTTGTCTCAATTTCCTCGTCTTTATCCCCTGTTCTGTTTAGCAGAATTGGCTTCTCATTACCAGACTATATTGGTTTCACCTCATGTCTGTCCAACTGTTTATTCCCATTGCAAGTTTAATTCTATTCTTGCTTCAGGCTTTTTTTTTCACCAGTGCTGGATAATTATGTTGTTTTTTTTTATACTGTTGTTCTTTCTTCTGATATTAGTTTTGTTAGGTCCCCCGCCCTGCAGCACCTTCTGTTATTAAAGTTTTTAGCGTTTTTTTTTCTTTCTAATCTGTCAGCTTTTCTGATGTAAGTTTGGGAAGTACCGACAGTTTGATTCTTTTGAACTCTGTGCTTGACCAAAACCTGCTGAGACTTCAGTTTTGTGTACCTAATACGTCATGAGATCCTGGCTTAGACCACTTTTGTCGTATATGAAACTTGATTGTGTTTCTTCCTCGCTTCTTGCTGCCACTGTCTCTTTCTCTTTCTCTCTCTCTCTTTCTCTCTCTCTCTCTCTCTCTCTCTCTCTCTCCTCAGCTTTGCCTTCTGCTCCTTCACACATGCACCTTGTTTATAGTCAGCCATCTGTTCCTCACTCAGTAATCAAACTCTCCAGTATATAGGCAACTTATTATAAGTCAGCCCTTGTTGGTTACTCCAATCAAATCCCTGTATCCCCTTTTCCTGTGTTTTTTGCTCTGCTCTGGCTCCCTCTGTTTTTGTTCATTTTTCATGAAGTGATCATCATCAACTTGTCGTTTCTGCCTCTCTGGGTTTGGATCGATCAGTCACCATGACAGATATTGCCCAAATTTGTGAATTTCCGAGATTTACTTCTTACTCATATGTTGCACTATATGCTTTTCCCCCCCCCTCAATTTTCAATTATAACTGTATATTTTTAATATGCCACAATCTGACCAGTCCACTGTGTTGTAGTCTATTCTTTTTCTTGAGTCTCATGCAGCTTGAGTCTGCAGGCTTTAGTTTGTTTGTTAGCATTGCTTGTATTGGGGCCTGTCTTAAAGGACAGATGTGAATGTAGTCTACTGCAAGAAAGACATTGACTGCACATATCCAGTCCTAACATCTTCGCTATATGTTTGTATTTACTCTGTACATCAAATGTTGCAAATGTCAGTGTTTTTTTTTTTTTTGACCACACATGTAAAAAATTCCTGTGTAAATCACTAAATAGGCTCATTTTAAGAGAAATAACTTATTCTATACTAATCCAACACCCACACAGATAAATCACAATTCATCCACTCTCCTTAAAGTGTTTTATGTGAGTTCAGACTTTGGATACGAAACACACGCATTACGACATCACCTGTTCAGGCCTGAGCTTCAAACTCATGCTGGCTTATAATGTCAGATGCCCCAGTAAAAACAAAGCCGAGACAATGAAACGACGCATGCACAGCTTACAACTCTTTTGTCGTTGCTTTGTTGGACTGACTCGGGGCTTTCGGGAGCCGAGCGGGTTCACACGAGTCAGAAGACGTACTTGTGCAAATGCGTGACTGGTAAGAAGGCGGGGCGTGGGGGTTGTCAATTCACATTTGTTTCAATTAGCAGTTTTACATTCTTTGTCTGTTATTTTTTAAGCAGAGGTGTTTGGTTGCTCTGCTTTGATCAAATACACAGGTGTCATTTTACTTCTTTTGTTTGGCTGCACTGTGAAAATCTGACAAAAAAAAAAGACATTTGCCTTTAGTTTTATTCTGGGAAGTTGGGTTTCACAGTAAGACATAAACTGATGTCGATGATGACAGAGTCTGTGTTTTCATGAAATGCGTCACTCCAGATTCTGAGTGCGCGTATTGACGTATTGAGTTGTGTTAAGCTGTTCAAATAAGCTCATGCATCAACAAAATATTTTCTAAACTTGATGAGCCTGTTCTTTACCTGACAAACATGAACAGTGTGCACCACCTCACGACCCCCTGACCCCCCACCGGCCCCAGCCCTCTTTCCCCGGGGTTCAAGTATCCACAGTCACTTTACAGCAGATTGTACTGGAGACTTAGTGACCCATAGAGGCAACAACATGCAGCTGTTTTTTACCTGTGCATGGTCGGTTGCCGCCCGGCCTTGTTTGTCACATCTCTGGATGTTTAAACGCTTTGACACGTTTCTACAAGGGTTTGTTCTCTTGTCTTTCCCATTTTGAAGTGTGGAAGAGCTATTGGTTAACAATTGGTAATGTAAAAATAGTCCCTTATAATGGATTTTTCTCCTCTAAATATAAGTATTAAAAGTCAAGGTTTTTTGTGTGTGATGTCATGCTCCTGCTGTGCCACTTTAATTTATTCCAAGCGTTTTGCACGATGGTATCATTCACAATAATGATAATGAATAATTCTGGCATCGAACTGAGAAACCGCTTGGGGAACTTGAAGCTTCGAAACCCTAAGGCAGAACTTGAGAACCATCGATACTGAATGCTTATGTTAACTTGTATGTTCAGTTCTGCAGTATGCATTTTGTTTTGTTTGTTTTTTTGTTTTTCTTTACTTTGAATTAAAATAGAGCATCAATTTTACTGTGCTTTGATATTGTGATTTTAATTGGGCTAAACCTGACTTTCAAAAGATATATTTTAAAAAATCCCTTCATTTTTCCTTGAAAACAAAGGGGAGAGAAGCACATGAAAAGCTTGACAAGAGAGCAACGTTAGAGCACGTTTTACGAGCCGGTCTCATTGAAAATGGAGTCATATGATCACATCTGTAACATCTGGGAGTGTGAATTTCCATCAGAACATGAACATTCACTTTTACCTCAATTCAAACCAAAATTGTAAAAGATAACCTGACGTCTGTAACTCTATGAAGAAATGAACCTTGTTCAACCTGCTTCTTTTACGAACAATAACATCTCTTCAGAAAACAACACGGAACGAAATGTATTCAGTAAGCATTGTGCGCTTGCACCTCTCGGTGACCTTACCAACAAAGACATGCGAGTGTTTAGTTTGCGTTTGCTCTCTGATTGGCCCTCAGCGTTACATTCAACATACGCAGAGAAGCTGCTCACTGTGGTCTTAAGCAGATTCGGATGCTGCATTAAGTCAACTGAAGCGGCATTAAAAGCAGGACACCGAGATGCGTCGTGGCAGCACACAAAAGCTGCGGGGCCCACCCTGTCAAACTATTTGCAGTTTGTCCGCCGTCTTCCGGCAGCTGCAGACAAACTGCACACGCACACTCGCGACTTAAATGTCTGTTACGCAGCTTTTACGTCAGGATGTACAGGGCTGACCTCTGATCAGACCTGGATACCTGGAGAAAACGTAAAAATGCATCCTGTGTGGAAAACAGGTGCAGGTTTTTAAGCAGCGTCAAGGAGCTGCAGCTCTCCCAGGTGAGTTATGTGTGCATGGATCTGCTGGGAGGCAGGGTGTGCTGCATTTTTCACAGGGAGATCAGGTCCGCCGGCTCGTTTGTAGCGACGTTCGGTGCCAATTTTGGCTGCTCTCTTTAAATTGCCATTGAAGTTTCCGTGCAAAGACCAACGAGTCAACGCCACAGACTCAGTCCAATAAAAACAGTGACATTTGTTTGAGTTCAACTTGAGCAGCAGGTGAAATAAAGTTTATTATGCAGATATAATAGCAGTGATTTGCTCTTTTAAGTTGGATGGGAAATAATGTGAGCTCATAATCAATTCAGTGTTTGGATGTGTGCAATGCAAGAGATTATTTTGTTTGTTTGTTTATTTCATTTTCTTAAAACAAAAACCTTAACCTTAAAAAAAGACAATAGTCAGAAGCTATAAAGATTTTGTGCAGCTTACTGGCTAAATGCTTCATTGTCGACCTCTCAGCTTTCAAGCAAAGTCAAGCTCATGAGAATAATCATGCAATTTCTGACATTTTAGACCTTTTTTTTTGTTTTTGAAAGATTAGCTTCCAGTGCTTTTGAAAATCACACATATTTCACATCCAGACTGAGCAGCAACCGTGAACCAAACATGGATAGGCTGTGTCATGAGTTGGCTACGTCGTGCCGCGATGTTGTCCCTTGAAGCTGTTTTCCTGGGGGAGCATCATGTTCCAGCAGAGCCCAGGCCCTCCAGAAAGCATGCAACAGGTTTGCCTTCTCCTCCGAAACACTGTGTCACAAACCTCAGTGCGAAACTGTCAGTTGGTATCGCGTGTTTGTTTAGGGTATCGTCTGACAGGAGAAGCTCCAAAATATATGTGAAGTACCATTATGTTTGCTTCTTTTTGTGGCATTGTAACACTAATTCTAGTGTGAAATAGCCTCAAATTACATGTTATTTGCAAAATAGAATCAGCTCTTCTATTTTGCAGAACCACTTTTGACTCCAACAACAGAAAACAGACTAAAGAGGTGGCGAACACCAACACCTGCAATAATATTCAAATGCTTATTTCACATCAGTAACTAGTGATGGATCCATACACATTTGACAATGTATTTTACAAAAACACCCTTTGTAGTATTGTTTAGAGGTGGGGAACTACCACCTGCTGCAGGTGGTAGATCTTTCGATTGTAGCTGTGTTGCGCTTCTGCTTTTTTTGCATGCAATCTATGAGTTGCGACCACATTGTGCTAAATTTATTGAGCAGGACGCGCTCAGTAAACTTCACAATGCGTTTTTCTCTGTTTTGCATAGTTCTCAGGTCCTCCTTCAACACTCACTATTACGCCTTTCCAATGTTAAGATATTCTATACTTCAACATAATAATAATGCAGAGCAGAAGGCAGGGTCCGACTTTAGAAAACAAAAGAATGCAATGTGAAAAAGTTGGGGAAAACTTTTTTTTTTTTACTTTCTGAGTTTTGTGTCTTTGCTTTTGTTCCGTCCTTCTGCCATGCTGTAATGTGAACGTTTGGATTTTATGTTATATTTTGAAATGCTTCAAAAAAACCATGCAACGTTGATTCTGGAAAAATAGGTAATTTTTAAAATAACAATATGGAAAGAAAAAAAAGGTCATGGAATGTCAAACAATTTTATATCCAGTGACCCTCTGGCCCACTTACTCTTTTGGCATTCAGCACTTTGTCGATGAGGCCTTTAATTAGTCCTGTCAGAAAAGATTACGAATAAAATCGTAAAATAATGCTGGGAAACAGAATTAAAAACTGTGGAAGAGATTTTTTTGAATGTCTTTATTTGTCAAAAAGCAAGAAAACAATTCAACTCAGCAACTCGTCTCATCTGAACTCCAAGCTGGATCCAAACAATTTCAGCACCTGAAGTTGCCTTTTTTGAGGTGATTGATGCTCAAATGCTCAGCTACGCCGGGTTGTTGTCATCCTGTCATCAAAAACACACAGACAGAACACTGAAAAAAAAAACAAATAAACAATTCCATCACACTCAAACTGGAAATCATGTTCAATATCCAGTTATTGCCAGAGGCTCTTAAAGGCTCTGTTAAAAAGATTTTTCCTGGCACAGACTAGTTTACAGAGGCAAAGCGTAGCTGGATGCATTCGGGTTATCTGGGAGATTGTTTCAAGAAATCGCTGTTTTTTTTCTTAACTGAGGCTTAGAGAAGCTTTGAAAAAAGCTGTTCCCTGTTTCACCCTGCAACCTAAGAGTAAAATAAAAGCAACAGGAGGTACAAGTCTTTTTAAACCTTCTTGTTCACTGATGTGTTTAGCAGCTGTATAAATAATCACAATCATCATCGTCATCATATTTGTCTACTTCAAGGAGCTGGTCCACTCCACGGCAGACGATGCTGTTAAAGGTTTAGAATAAAATCACCCATACTCACTGACTTTTGATGTTTATGCTTGTCAGAAGTCGACGGCACGCAGCCCGCCCATGAAGACAGCGACAGACACACAGGACACAGAGATGACCCGCGGCTTCCTGTGGAACATCTCCGTTGCATCCTTTTCAGCATCTTCTGGGGATCGTTAAAGTCTCCTACATTAAACCCTTTTTAGCTCCTCTTCAACCTGTAAACTGTTAGGCTGTGGCGCCATCTGCTGGATTCTTTTGGTTTGTTTCACAAACTCAAATTATTAGAATACAAAAGACTCTTGCGTCCAAACTAGAGTATGATGACAGCAGCAATAAAAAGAGAGCTTCAAACAGTCTTTGAATATCGATATTAAATACTTAGTATTAGCAAATTGATTATTTGGGAGTTGGACTTTGTCTCCCTCTGGTGGAGGAAGAGATTGTGTTCATTACATGCAGCCAGAAAAAAGCCAAACTTCAGAAGTATTGGCTCGTTAACACAAATATGAACTTGAGTTTCATGCTATTTGTAACTCAGAGAGTTGATTGTGATGTCAGCCCATCATCAGGCTTCTGGAAAAACTTTTCAGAAGGTTTAGGCGTGTTTTTTATTTTTTTATTTTTTTTAAGTGTGGGGCAGGAGGTTAAAAGTCATTCTTCTAGTAGAAGATCATTTTTGAGGTCAGACAATAGAGTGGGACCAAGAGACCTGGCTTGTAGTTATCTGATAATTCATCCCAAAAGTGTTTTACTGGCTTCACATGATGGGACCTGTGAAGGCCACTAAAGTTTTTCTGCACAATATCTTTACAGAGTTTGTTTTGTTCACTGGAGGGCAGCCATGTTAGAACAGGAAACGACCATCCCACAAAGATGGCAGCAGGAAATTCCCCAAAAATGTCTCGTTGACAGTATGAGTCATCATGAGTTCCTTTCATTGGAATCAAAGGGTTGAGACAAATTTCTAAAACACAGCGTCACACCATCGCCCCTTTGGAGTACAGCCAGGTAAATGCCATCATCTTGGCGAATGCCACATCCAGACTGATAATTAGATTACTTGGATTCAGCTGCTTGGCCACAAAAGTCATTTCAGAAAGCTTTCTACTCATTGTTCTTTAGCCAGTCTGACAAGAGTACAAGAGACAACTCTTGTCAGTACAAAACATTATCAAATGTAAAGTTTAATGTTTTGGTATCCTGGAAGTAAATTTGTTAGGGTCTGTAAAAGACGGGCCTTTATCAGGACATCTGAGCTCTTCCCATAAAACTAAAGTGGTGCACTGCCTTATTTCAACTCAAATAGATGTCAGGCAGGGTTCAGTTTTAATTGTACAAGAAAGGAGTTTGAAAGAGTTTGGAAATACATTCAAAATTCCTCATAGTCAAGAATGTGATATGGATGCAATGCAGTAGGCTTCCTATCCAAGATATTGATGGCCTGATTGTATATCATTCCCAGTGGCTTGATTAGTTTGCTTGAGGCCAAGAGGTTATAAAGTAATTAGATTGGTTTTTTTTCTAGGGGAAAAAATGTATAAAATCAAGAATATATTTGTAGCATTAAATGGTGTACAGTTAGATAAATGGTATATTTGTCATATACATGACTTATAACATGTAGCAACAGACTTGACAATATTCTAATCAACTACATGTAAAGCTGTGTCATTAGTATTCATCTGACTACCTGCACCAGGATGCCAACATAAAGTTATTCCCCCACAAACTAAACAGAAGTGCACCAAGAGCGTAACCTTGGGGTACACCTACTTTAACTTCCATACTTTTTGAAGTTAACCTGGAATCATATCATTAATCATCATCAACAATTCTGTTTAAATTATGATTTTTCTTTAAATAAATGAACAGAAATGGATGACTTTTGCAGCAGTGCTGAATATCACTCACTCTGTTTCTTTTTCTGATGTGTCCTGCTTTTTAAACTGGAAGGTAAAACCTTTAGAACGAAATCATTAAATATTCAGGATCCATTCCAAGCACATGTTAGCTCAGAGCAACGTTTAACATATCTGTTACTGCTAATAAAACAGCAACAGAGCATTCAATCAACTTTATTATTATTATTATTAAAACTCCAATGCTCCTTGGGGCCTGAAGATAAGCTTGGAGAATCATGGACTAGGATAAGTTGGAATAAATTCCAACTAATTCATCTAACAATATGAAAAGACATGCTGAGGAACACAAAGAATCTTTTACATTTTTTTTATTTATCTTTAAAAAAAAAGATATAAAAACTTACAGGAAACAAAAGAACATGATGTGTGGCTGGACATCAATCCAAATCACACGTACGCACACGCGCAAACACACTGCTTGGAGTTTGTATCACATTGTGTGCAATTCAAAGTCTTTAAATCTGTGTATGATGTAACTGCTGTCTTGTGTAAAGTCTAAGGCACTGGAACTCCTTCCTCTTATTTCCACCTAATCCAAAGAAGAAGAAAAAAAAACAAGAAGAAGAAGAAGAAGCTGCAAACAGGTGGCACACGATTCACTAGACAGACCCACGCTCTTTTTGGCTTCTAACACAAAACCACATGACTGATTCCACGAAACCATCAACCTACTGCGCTGAACATCAGCTTCTACTTGCACATAAAAAACTATAAGTCGTCACTACACACCTTTCAGAAAATGTGCGCATATTTCAGGCTTATGACAGCAGTGAACTCTAGAGCAAAACATGACTTTTAGAAAAAGATTTCAAGCTGAAGATATACATGGTACAAAAAGATTTTTAAGTGTTACAATTTTAATAAAAACATAATTGAGTTTTGTATGTTATTTACTTAAATCAATAAAGAAATAACAAAGGGTATTAACATTTGTGTAAAAAAACAAACAAACAAAAAAAAACAACAGTCAGTGGAACTGAACAGTTTAGAACCATAAATTAACAGTAGTCTAATGCCACACACCGTTTTCATGTTCATTATTAACAAGAATCAAGTAATTTCTGAAGGATACAATAAGCTGGATGTCATCAAAGATAAACTTCAAGTCTTTTGCTGCTGAGCTTCTGTGGTAAGAGAATAATCTGCATCTGAGTATAAAACAGGAGGGAACAGGTGGCAGGATGGGGAGACCATGTTGTGTAACAGACGGAGCAAATTTTCCAAGATAGAACCGTTCGCTGTATGTTCTCCCACGGGCCAGCAGAGGGAGCTCTTACTTCAAAAATCCGCCACAATGACAAGGCATTTGCATAGCTCATCTTGACTTAATAGAGCAGATGATAAAGAGAGAAGCTGGAATTTCAGGTCAGGGCAGGACAGGATGGGACAGGATATGCATTCCAGGCAGCCTGGTAACTCAGTAATGATGGAGGATGCAATATGTTGGGCATGGGCTGTGACCAGGACTGCTGTGCAGTACGAACAACGACCTGGCGAATGTAAAACCAAGACATGGAAGAGAGATGTATTATATCCGCCTTCAAGGACATTCCAAGGACTTTCTCCGGTTATTTAAAGGAGAGGGAGTTTTCGAGATGCTGACTCTCGGTAAAACCCACGATGAACTTTGAAACATAAACACCGGGGCTAGAAATGTAATGCCTGAGCTCGCCAAAATCTTGAACTGAATAATGTATAAAAAGGTATTCTTAATTTAAGCTATATATTTAATAATATAATTTAATAAATATGCAGAAAGGGTAATTTTGGAGCTAAAGTTGCTAATGAAAAAGTGAGCGTCTAACAACTAATTAGTGGGAGAAAAAGTGCTGCCTGGGCAACTTCATAACTTAGCACTCCCATCACACTACCGGCTATTTACTTTTCATTTAAAGGGTGTAAGGAGAAGTAGTACTTTGGTAAATAATCTTTTAGAATTGCCTTTATGTTTAACACCGTATGAAGCACAATTTGATCACCAGCCAAGTCAAGTTGTCACATATTTTCTGGACCTGTCACAAAATTGCATATTTTCGCCTTTGTGCAATGACAGTGACCCCAAAATAACACTAGCCAGTCTATTGTAACACTGTTCAAACACTCTGCATGCGCAGTTAAAGATTTGTTCATCTCAGGATGAAGGAAACTTGAAACCCAAAGTAAAACTGTAAGCATGACCTACTTTCTGATAAGTGCAGCTTATATACCTCAAAATCAGATACAAGCACACAATAGATTATACTTTTTAAAGTAACTTTAGTCAGTTATTTGAAAGCTAAGTTTAACTCACATCGCTTGCTTCCAAATCATTACAATCAACAAATCCCATAAAAAGGACTAATCTGACAACATGAAGTAGGCTAAGAAATCTTAAGCAACACATCGTCCCCAACTAAAGGAATTCAGACAAACATGGACCAAAGTTATTGACATCTACTAGTATCGGAAAATGATCAAAGCGGTTGGAAGTGAAGCACTGTGAATAAATTTTGGATGCACTTTGGCTAGAAGATTGAAATTCCCCCCACGGGCAAGTTGGTTCTTAAACCTAGAACAAATTAATTAAATTGAGATAGTGACACGCACAGCAAATAATAATAATAATAATAATAAAAACATAAATAAAAAAACTTAACATGTCTTGTTTAATCGAACACTGTGGATTCCCCATCTGTGATCCCCACACATGCACACTATTCAAACCAGGCTATTCATGTCGGTGCCCCAATTTGTGAGACATTGTGACAGCAGCTGGACGGAAACATGAAAATTTAATACAGTAAAATAAAGAGGAGATTTTTATTTTTAGGGTCTTTCTGTCACAGAAAGTCACATTTTAAAAACAACAGAAATAGACAAAAGAAATAGAGGTAATTTGTGAAAAATCTTTTAGATGCAGAAAACAAAAATGCTGTTGGCTGAAGCAGAATCCAAAATATAACACAACTCGACCCTATAGGCAAGCTAGTATTACTGCTTCAGCACAGCTGGCTGCTCAGGAAGCTAGAAAAGTAGCTGTTTCAAACTCCCTTTTGTCAATCAGTGCTGTTAGGACCATGACATTTTCTCTAGAAGCCAGGACAGCTGTTCTCATGTTACTCAGTTGGAAAAACCCACCTTTAGGAAAACTGCGTCCAGGCTGGTTTTGAAGTTCTGGTAAAACCTAAATCTAAAGGGACGGCTCAGCTTCTGCTTAGTTCTGCAAAAACTCAGGAAAATGCTAATTAAAAAAAAATAAAAAAACTTAGCTTAGTTTCAGCTTAGATGGGCATAATAGATCACAGTCTTTTGATTGATCTGAAATATTAAAAAGCAACTTTGCTCGCATTGGTGGGCTTCATTAGCAGGCAGGAGATATATTGTATAACACAAGGCACAGTCACTTGCTCACTATGCCTGAAAAGTAATAATAACTGACTTTATGAACCAATTTAACTCACAGTTTACATGATAAAACAACGATGAGGAAGTAAAACCTCCGGTAACAAAAGAAATGCTCGCAAAAACGACCGAAGTGACGACTCACACGACGTCATCTTTTGAAAATAACACACTCCCTTCACAATCGTCCCAAAAGTTAGCTTAAAGTAAATTAGAAAAAAAACTACGTTTCACAAACTATAATTTACTTTTCGAGACTGTATCTCCACAGTCGTATGAAGTTTAGAAAATCTAGTCGAGGAACATGATAAATTCACATTCATGTTTGCTAATGTCTAAGTGCTAAGGACTCTGAATTATCAAAGGTGGCACAGCATCAGAGTCCTTCTCGGATTGATCTGCAGTGTCGATCCATCTGAAAACCTTCTTTTTTTTTTGTAGAGAAACCTGTAGTCAATTTTAGTTATTCATCAGCTCTATTACTCTGAGTGCGACTATTCTCTTCACATGCCACTTAATTATTAAACAGTCATCCTGGGGAGGACGGTGTTCGGGTCAAACAACACTATAATTTTCACTCTTTGGTCAACCTGAAAACCTGATACTGCACATCACTCTAAACACACAAGCCCCAATTCTATAGATGTGTAAAATTAGAGGAGACATACTGCTGTCAATACCAAAAGGGTTTTTTGGTTTTTCTTGTTATTGACAGCAGTCAATTTCCAACAAGCATATGGAAATGAAAGATATATATATTTGTAGCGCAAACTGAAAACTGCGTATCCTTATCCATCCACTTTACAAATATGCTCTCCTTTCAATCATGTAAAAAAAAACACTTCAAAATTTTTGGGCTGTAGTGTGAAAAAGTCCAAGGCATATGAATTCTTCACTGTATCAGCAGTCAGCAAGACCTAACCAGCTTCTCCTGCTGGCGGTCCCTTATGAGTATTTTGTCTTCCACCAGCTCCAGATGAAAACAGCTGAAGATTTAAGTGGGCTATCAGCTGACTGCATCACCTTCCTCTTGCTCAAAATGACAGATGCCCTGAAACAAATTTTAGAAATCAGCACTTTGTGGTTCCCCCGCTAGCCAGTGAACAGTCAAAAGTGTCATATTTTCTTTCCTGTCAGCATAGGAAAGGACATTATTTTCATCAGTTTGGCCAGTATTTCATTTTGAGAATATAACAGTTAAAGGAAGACCTGCTAAAACGGTCTGATACACCTCAACTGCACACGTTGCAGATGCACAGTTGTGCTGTAGCCTGAGGTAAACTGGTGTCTGAGTGTGTGAACGAAGGAAGGTGATGATAATGCTAACATTTGCACTCTGGTCCGCTCCAGTGCACTAATTGCTCCACAGCGCCGACGGCCACTGAGGAGGCCACGCGGACGAGCAAAACACCTGCCACCCTCCGGCTTCCATCGATCACACGCCTCTCAATATGCAACTCTAACAGGGCCCGTCTGAAACTGCACTTTATCCACTCGAGTGTGCTTTGACCAACCTAATATCCGCTTGAAAACCCACCTAAGAGCTTTCATGTGCTTAAAAAAAAACGGCGACTTTCTATTTAGCGTGCTTTAGCCAATCTAAACCCTCATATTAAGGACACATTAGGTGCTGATGGTTCGTTAGCCATTGGTGAGGAGCGAGAGTACAATCTTAAAGAGAGGGGATCATATGCACAGTAGCAGATCGCGCCCCTCCCCCTCGCTAAGTGCTGCAGAGATGCAAGGGAATGTGTGTGTATGTGAGGATCTGAGGGGAAGAAGAGGTGGGGGGAGAAGAAAGTGTGTGAGTGGAGGCGATTCCTACAACTTAATGATGTGGCTGGAGATGAAACGGTACGGGAAATGGAGAAGACGGTGGTAAAGGTGTAGCGTAAGCTGGTAAAATCTGTTCGGTGGGAAGGAAAAGGTGGGGCTCTAACATGAGCAAATCTAAAGTTTCTTTTCATGTAAACTAAGCGAAGATTAAAGATCTGTCACAGCTAAATCCCCAGGGGGATTTTTTTTTTTTTTATCTCCTCAATTTTCTTACAAACCTGGAGGGCAGGCAGTGTTGTCGGGTGGCGGCGGCCGGGCGAGGGGATTGAAGGCCTGTAGAAGTACAGCGGGGCAAGCGGCAGGGTTTCTCCAGGAGTCTCCCAGGGAAGGAAAATCGTGCTTCTCTTCACATGTGCCATGCTTATAAGGGTCGACAAGCAGAGTGCAATGTGCTGCCACTGAACTTCCAAAGCCCCTCATATACACACATTTGGGTATGCACAAAAATGCATAAAGATCTGACTTTTATTTTGTCCACATACATTTCCACCTCATTTCTCTAAGCCTGGACCAGCCAGAAGTAAGAACAATCCTCCATGGCTTTGACCCTGAATCTAACATTGAGAGAGGACGAGAAGTCCTTAAAAATAGGACAGGTTGTCTCTGTAGAAAAATAAAGGAATTTCCAAAGGCTGATCAATTGTCTTTGGCACTTCTGAGAAGACAGCACATTTAACAAATCCGACGATGAGTATAAAAGGCCAAACTAGAGCTATAAAGTAAAGCACGAGTTCATCCGCATATCAGCCTCGCCATTCTGGGGTGCACCTGAGCCTGGATGGGGCCGTATTCCACCACCTCTCCGTCCACGGTGATCATGCCCTGTTGTGAGATGGGCTCTAACCGCAGGGCCCTCACCTTTTCGTACACAAGGTGGGGGCAACCGCAGGCTAAATGGGAACCCCTCTCCATGGCGAGGAAGAGACGCAAGAGGGCGGGCCGGGATATTCCCGCTGTCACGTAAAACAGATGAATCAGCCCGTCATCCGCCATCGCTCCCGGCACTGTCCACAGATCCTCCGCTAGGTGGGACTGGTAAATAGCCAGCACAAGAACAAAGTCTTCCTCATTGACCACCGTCCAGTTTTCAGGGACCGGCTGGTCCAGGCTGGGGAGGAGAGAATCCATAGGTGACAGAGTCTTATTGTTGCCACGCGTCTCGGGCCTCATGTTGGTAATGACGTTGGAGGAGTTGGTGATGGAGTTTTGGTTCAGGTTCGTGTCAACGCAGTTTTTCAGAGAGCTCTGCTTTGGCGAAGCTTTGGGGACGAGATGACAAGGAAGGGATGAACAGAGAGACGGCTGCTGAGGTGTGAACGGAGGACGGGTCGCCCTCACCCTTTCGTTTGGAGCTTTTGGTACCTCTTTAGCTGGCAGGTATGCTAACCTGCCCTGATATACTCTGAGTGAGGCCAGACGCACCAGGGTGCCCATTAGGAAGCGGATAGCTCCAACGTGACGATACTTCTCGCTCTCGATATCCACATCTGCCACAAAGCCCCAAGCCAAGGAGAGGAAGGAGAAGAGGCGCTGACTGGAGGCCAAATGGACCGACACCAAGTCAAGAGAACCAACCAGACCTTTGCACAGCATGAAGCCGCAGCTCAGGAGCAGCTCCTCGTTCCAGGCAGGAGGCGATCTGTTGAATCGTCACAGAAAACAAGATAAGACAGAAAATACAGCAGCACATGCCATTTTATGATCTTGATTGAAGTAATTAATCTTATTCTTTGGTCATTGCTGTGATATTTGAGCCAGCTACATACCGATAGATCACAGTTGGTGTAAATAGCATGCGAGATCTTTATCAAATGCACAATAATATGATGCTGCAGATTTGTTTCCCTGTGTTTTTTTGGGGTTTTTTAAAAAAAACAAGAGACAGATACACAATGGAGTAAAAATGATATTAGAGCTTCTGAGAAGTAATGAAGTTGGGTGGTCCAAATCCACAGGTTGGAAGTGTTGCAGGAGCTGATGAAAATGTTTTTGCATCTACGTGCTCAGTAATATAAACAAGTCCACAAATCGGCAGTAGGTTCGGAGTCATCCAAAGTCCCAACATCTCGTAAAGCAGATGCGCTCATGACATTTTTGGCTCGCCAGTGATGGCTCTTTGAAATTGTGCCAACAACCAGGCGGCAGAAGGGGATGATAACCTGGACATGTGCTGGGTCAACATAACGCGCGACTTTCTAAACCCCTCGCGTCACTGCTTTAGAGAGTTTATGCAACCAGAAATGAATTCTCGGCGCATAACAAAACAGTCCCAGTAAGTCCTCTCTCCCGAGGAACGATGAGCCCAGTCAGCCTTTGCTCTAATTACACAGGAAGGAGACAAATTGTCTTCTATAAACTAACGAAGGCTCGTCTTTTGCACCGTTAGCCTATGCATTTAAATGACTCATTAAAAGATGGACTCACTGCGAGTAGTGGTGGATGGATGCGGCCAGGGCATTGCCAGAGCCACCTGGTAGCATCCCCAGAGGAGTCTGGATGGCCTGTTGCCAGTCATCCCGCTCCATCAGCCCATTTATCACCTGAGTGAACAAGAGAGATCACCAAAATTTAGCTTTGGCTCAAAAATAAGAAGCTGTATCTCTGGAAGAGACAGAAACATGTTGTTTTGTATGTAGTGTGGCACTACCAGGGAGACCAGATGGTGCTGTGGCTAAGTACAAAAATACTCTCTGGATGACTGCAGTTTTTTTTTTCTTTCCCCCATGCAAGAGCCCCGGCACCTGATCTCCTTTATCATGTTTGAGACCAAATTAAATTTTTATATTTCTGTTCCAAGACGTGCCATAAATAGAAGCTGGAGTTTTGGAGGTCGATCCAGCACCCACTGATGAACAACTCTCATCGTTAAAGGGCAGAAGTGGGCCGCGTACCTCAAACAGCAGGCCGTCACCAGACATGATAACCAGCGCGTCCCACTGCGTCAGGTCGGCGTTCCTCACCAGCTCCCGCGCGTGGTTCTGGTGCTCTAACAAAACAGAAGAAATGCAAGCGTCAACTGCGAGGCAAGGCAGAAAATGTGGGACAAAGTGACAAAATGATGATAAAAAGCAGCAAGGGCAGAGAGAGAGGGAGGGAGAGGGGGGGAAAAAAGACATGTTCCCTTCATCGCCGCAGGCTCTGGAGTGGGATCAGGGAGATTAGGCAGAAAAGGGATTCAATTTCCTCTTATCGGACCAGACATATCACATTAGCTCATCCAGTGGCTACTCAGCAGCTCCGAGGCAGCTTAGGCAGCCTGCAAACATCTGTGACCGAGAGCGCGGGGAGCATGTGGCCGCGTGTTGGTAAAATGTGCTGTTGGAGAAGTGAGCTATTTGTTCAGCCTAGTTTTATTGGCAGAGTCCTTGAGTTGGTCTCTGCACTGGGGGTCTCTGCGGGCTCATCCTGCCAGCATTAAAGTCTACAGTCCTGCCAGCCGAGACTCCCCAGTGTAGTCGCGTGTGGAAAATGGAAACAACTTTAGAGAGGGAGACAGGGGGAAGTGGTGGAGGGGAGGAAGGACGGCAGACACGCAGCTGAGAGGCACCGATGTGCCTCTCAAGGCACCACTATGATGGAAAATATACCTCCTGAAGTATTGATCAACTCTCTGCTTTTACTTTGCTCAATATTTACATGCCTCCACCCACTCCCCTCTTACCCTGTCACCTCACCTACCTCACCCCCCCTGTGCTGTTTGTTTGCTGTATGCCGGACGGACTAGAGGTGGTTATGCAGTGCTGTGTTGACAGGACCAGACAGGACAGCTGATTCTGCATTTTCAGACCAATGCTTTACTTTCCAGATACTTACTTATTGAAAAGGTCATCGGAAGACGACGTATACAATCACTGCAAAACACAACTGTGGCTTCTTTAAACCCAGTTCTGTTTCTCATATGGTTTTTGTCATATTTATGAATATCTTCGGGTCAAAATCAGACCTCAACTTCAATGTATTCGTAGAGCACTTTCCATGCAGTTGAATGGGAAGCAAAGGTAAAATGAATTCAATTTTCATAGGCTTCTCTAGGTTTGCTGCTGCAGAAACCAATATTTTTGGTCCAGAGTTCTTTCACATAAAAATTGCAAACCTTCCCCAGCAGCCAAGATAATCAAAATACTCATCTATTTCAGTAATTCAATCAAAAAAGTGAAACATATGGATTCATTAGTGACAGAGAGACTGTATATATATTGTGCTTTCTTCTGTTAATTTTGATAACTGGCTTAACGAAGACTCAAAATTGTAAAAAAAAAAAACAACAAAAAAAAAATCTTTTGAGAAAATATGATTATCACAAAAGACCAAAAACTAAAATATTGTCTGCTAAGTGAAAAGTTTATCTATGTCCATTACAGTATCGCATGGCTCCTTTAGCATGAATTAAATCTGAAGGCAAAGGCTGTTTACTGTTACGCCGTTGATATTACAGTCTTTAAGCTGTCGGCCTAATCTTTCATGAGATGCAAACACTCTGTGTGAAAACAAAAATAAAACCACCTAAAATCTGGGTCATATTCCCGTCCTTTCTTTTTAAAGCCACAGTTTGCTTTATGTGTTAATGCCTTCTGCCTTTTTCCAAGGTTATCCCAGGTAAAGACTAAAACTGGTTCACTCTGTGCTTCGTAAAGTACGTAAAATGTACAGGCCGACGCAACAGGAGTTTTGTTGACGACGGCGCTAGGCAAAAGCAGTTTGATACACTCATCAAAAAGGCGTATGCCGAGTAAAGTGGACTAGAGTTGGTTGGCCCGGTGCATGATGGATCACCCCACTCTGAGGCCTCAGCGTCCCACATAATATTCCCCCTTCCTTTACGTCCATCTCTGTTCCTCTTCGTTGGCCTCGGTAATTAAGCTCTGTGTTTTCATCTCCATCCAGTTGCTGACCCTCCTTCAGGTCCCAGGAGCCCGTTAAGTATGTGCGAGCATGCCAGCGTACTTCCTCACAGAGACAAAAACCACACAAGCAGAGTTTCTGCTCCAGCGCTCTGCTGCATTCGCTGTCATAATCCATCTCACTGTGAGCTGCAGCAGAGATTCAGCTGCATAATGCCGAGCTGATCCAAACGGAGACAGAATATTCAGAACTGTCAAACTGCTGGTCGGCCTTAACCAAGGGGGTAAGTATGCGGGACGCAGAGGAAAAAAATACAATTCCCCTCAAAGTTATGTTTTCTTTCCCCCCACTTTGCAACCTCACTGGAATGGATCAACACAAGTGGATATCTTTGGAGTGAAAACGGAATGATACGTTAAAGAAGGTATCTGGTTGATTAATTAAATGGATTCAGATCAATCTATTATGGTTAACCAGAAACAAGGAGGCAAATAAAAACATTTTAGGAGAAAGTCTGTGTTCAAAGTAATGAAGATATCTGAATATACAGGCTATACATCTAGTTGTCCTGATCAGCTTTTTTGTTAATATATGTTTTCTTTACCAGCTCTAGAAAAATACAAATAAAGTCAGTAAAACCCATATATAGAAACAAATAACGTCTAAAGATCAATGGACTGAGGTCCAAACTCGACTTTAAGATCTGAAAATGATCTAAAACATGTTCATTTCCCTTCATGACATGATAGGTCTGTATAGATTTGGAGGTTGTTTTATGTTTGTGATATTATTTTTATAAGTCGCGTATATAATACAATTTTGCTCACTGATTTTTAATTTTGACGATAAATACAAACACAAAGCTCTGATTATTGGAAAACCATGGTGGTTACACTTCCAGTCTGAATCTCTGCCCCTGTTGAAAACTACATGTTGTTTTTCTGCCACTTCATATTTCTGTGTTGATCTGTCACATAAAATCTCAATAGAATCCAGTGAATATTGTGAATGCAACACAACACAACGCAAGAAAAATTGAAAACCTCTGAACACTTTGACGTGACATGGGGTAAATGGTGAAATGTGAGCCATTTGGTTCCAAACATGGCATTGAAGCTGTGCAGAGTAACAGCTTTCTTATGGTGAAAATAGCCTAGAATAACAGTAACAGGCACAATACTGGTAAAGGTCACCGAGAAGCTTCAGCAAATCATGCTGAATGTGCAGCAGATGGCACGAGTAGAATGAGAACTTAATGCTCATGTTGTCTGTGAGCACATGCCTTGTTGAATTTGCGATCACAAAAAACAATGCATAATTCCCGCAGAGATCAAAACTTGCTTCGAAGCATCGTGGCTTGGGCTCATGTTAATGCGTGCGCAACTCGCAGCATGACCCAGTTCTCAGACTGATCACGCTACGATGTAGCGGGACGTTTAATCCTCTGTTTTATGCGGAGACGATAAACGGGACGCATGCGGGGAACATATTTATGACTGACCTGTTTTGACGAGTTCGTAGGGAACGGAGGCCTCGGTGAGCATGGCCTGTATGTGGCCAGTGAACAGCTGGAGGGCCTGTCCCCGTCCGCTGTGGGGGTTCACCAGGATCATGGTTCTGCAAGGCCTTTTCAGCTCCGTGTACATCACACCTAACAGGCAGAAACGGGGTGATGTGAGTCAGGATAAAGAGGATGAGAAGAATAGCTTAGCTTAAAGAATAAAGAAGTAGAGCTGTCCCCTTCTCCGAAAATATGCATAGAATTGCAGCGGGAGGGGAAAAAAATTGAAAGAAGTCCACATCTGTCGCCTGGGCGAGCACAGAGACTGACAGTGCTCAATTTTAATGTGACGCTGCAAAGAGAGAAGGCTTACCCATGCATTTTATTTAGGATCTTACCAATTATTCATGATCAATGCCGGGAACTTTTCATTGCATGACTACAGCAAACGTCTGCTTGCAGCTGCACGCCTCAAAGAAACACAAATCAGTGGGAGGAAAATAAAAATCTATCCTGTTCAGTCTGTTTGGTGACCTATTACACAGCCACACTCACAGTTTTAATCGTTTTAAACTTTACTGTCCAGAGAATATATTGTTCTGGAGACATTTGGTTGACGGACGATTTTGCAGTGTGCAGACAAACAGACATCTACCTTACCAGAGGGGTATGTTGTATTCTCTTTCCTATTTTAAACATTGACTCAAATCAATATTTTCATATTGTTATGAAGGTCCACTAAATGTGGATCATTGCACACTTGAGATGGTTGAGATAAAAACTGACTTGGCCTTGTTATCTTTCAGCTAAAAACTAATGAATCACTTGGATCCTCTTCAATTGTGGACACTGCTGCAGAGTGACGCTGATTTACACTACAAGGGTAATTCCTTGTTGCAAAAGTTGGGGATCAATTATGCACACCCTATGTACACATTGACAGCTTCAGTGCCAATGGTAGTAAATCAGCTGCAACTTAGTGAATCTCAGCATCGCTGACGTTCAAACCAAGCATCAGATTTTGACAGAAAGGGTTTTAAAAGGAATCTTAAAGTGATAGGTTTATGGTAAGCTGCTGACATGCTGTGCATAGCCATCTTCTTGTCACAGGAGAATGTCAGAGGAGAATGAAAAAGATTGGTTTGAAATGAAGGAAGGGCACCTTTACATCAAAGGTAAGCAAAATATAGTCTCTGAGCACCTAACATGTTGAAACCTGAAGCCAGTGGCCCTCAGTAGAAGACCAAACCAGTTCCACTGCTGCTGCAGCTCCAGCAGTTACATGGTAATAAATCTGACATTAACGTAAATTAATGTCCGCCCTCCCTTGCAGCAACGACTGAGACACCTGGGTAATGGTGTAGGGATATTTTATTGACACACTTTGGGGTCCTTAGTACGAACGCATCATTTAAACACCACAACCTAATGAACATGTTCGTCCCTGACTCTAACTACAATGAACTATCCTTTGATGACTAATTCCAGCAAAATAATGCAACATGTCACAAATCATCTGACATTTCTTTCTAGTGCATGAGGATGAGCTCGCTGCACTGCGATGGCCTCCCAGTGGAGCACATTTGTTGAATGAGAAATTTGCATCACGGCTGTGCAATAGGCGAAGCATCTGTGTGACGCCGTCACGCCAAGGTGGAGCGAAATCTCAGAGGAATGTGTCAAAGACCATGTTGCAACTATGTTCCAAAGATGAAGGCAGTTCTGAGTCCAATCAGTACTTGCAAGGGGTATCTAATAAAGTGACTGGTGAGTGTATGTACTCTGTAGCAGCATGAGTCAGCCACAGGCATCAACGCTGAGTGACATCTCTGGGTTTCAGTGCTTATTGGAATGAAAAGATATTCCATTGTGTATCTGTGAGTCCGCTCTTATTTTGTCTTAAAAACATACTGACTCCGGACTCAGTCATTTTTCAGACAGGTGAATTTGATTGCTTATCTTTAGCAAACTGCATATGTGACATCAAAGCAGCAAGAAGGCGACAGAGTTCTGTTCGCTGAAGAAAGAACTTACGCAGCTATGGTTTTTTGCTAACCCCAGTAGGAAAAGCTAACTTCCTTCCATTTCCCAGGTATAATGCGATTCACCTTTTTGACTTGGACAAATCTAGCCTCTTCTAGAGCTATGTCAGATGCCTCAATGAGATTCCTCAAAAAAGTACATCCGGAAGCCAACTTCGCCTTCCAGGCGAAGTTTCCAGAAAATGCCTTTTATCAGGATAGAAAAATGTCATTTGAGGACAGAAGGCAAAAACATCAGTATTTATTTCTATCATAAAATTTGTACTGGGGATGATGCTGACTTTTGTTAAAATCTATAAAATCTATTTTATGATTTTATGGATCATAAAATGGATTGTTTGATGATCCATTCCTGAACGCATAAAATGTGGTAATATAAAAGTTGTAGATCTGAGAGGAATGCTTTAAATAAAAGTACTTGCTTTAGACAGTCCAACTTAATCTGGGTGAAATGCTTCTAACCAGACAGTCCATATCATTGTTCAACAAGGAACCTGGTACCTTTATACCAGATGCCAAAGTCAATTAGAACCAGAATGATTGAACACAAACTATGATCGGAAATGCTTCCAAACAAGACATGGGTAACCCCAATAGGAAGTGGTGAGAAACACACAGGCCAATCCACCTCTATTCATTCACACAGGGATGCCACTATTGTTTGCTAGTCGCATCCCTGCACAATGTGGCTTTCAATCGTAAAAAGATCCATGCCCTTCCAGAATCGAGTGGAAAGCAGCTTTTGAAGGTCAACCAGCTTTTAGATTGAGGTCTTGCACTCAAGTGAACTGAACTGAAAAGCATCCAATTAAAACAAATCCACACACTGTCATGAAAAGGTCAAAGTCAGATGAAATCCTTAGTGGATTGGCACGGATAACACATAAAAAAGACCAGCCAGAGAAACCTCATTTTAACATAATCTGCACCTATTTATTAAAGGTTTTGTACTTGATAAATCCATTTTAAGGGGAACAATATTCATTTTAAACAACTTTTTGGTACTGACCAAAAAAAAAAGTTTTGTTTTGAACTTTTTAGTGCAAAAAATTTTAAATAAATAAGTAAATAAATAGAATTTTATTTAAAAAAAAAACTGATTAGGATTTTTTTTTTGAACCTCCAAACACAATACATCTATCTGAGTATTACAATAAAGCATTCTTATATGTATTCAGATCAATTAGATATAAACATGAGCAGCCATGAGTTATGAAAGGTGAATAGTTCTCTTGGGACTTTGTCAGGGACATGGAAAAGAAGAACCTGTCCTTAAAAGTTTTACTAACTTTGTAAAGAAAATGTTAACAGGCTGCAATGTCTGTTCAAAGATATCCTCACCAAATGATATATTAGGTTCAATGGGAAGTACTGAAAAAGAACATTTTCAGCACTTCTACAAAGTCAGGGGATTATTAGTAACTCCAACATTTGTACCTGAACAGTACGAAATGAACCTAAATAAATTCTGTACCTTCCTCAGGACTGAGAATCAGACTTTTACTTAAGGCTACTCACAGTTAGTAGCCTTAAAAGTATGGTTTAATATTAATTAGTTTAATAATAACACGCTGTTTCTACTTAAACAGAACAACAATCTAAACCTCAAATTGCAAGTCATATAAGGAATTTCATATCCTTATATGAAATTGCAAGTCATATAAGGATATGAATCCTTATATGAATTCATATAAGGATTCATATAAATCCTTATATGAATTTTCCACAAATTCATAGTATATTATAGCATCAATTAGAAGGTAACTTTGAAGTTATGATGTTTTTCAACCATATCCACTGTTCAAACTTATTCTAAACAAAGTTATTTGAAGTCAGGAGCAAGTTATAGTAACTTAAGCAATATTCCACCCCTATTTAGATTCAAGAAAAAGTCAATCACCTTTCACTTTTCAATCACATTTGTTGTTGAGACTAAAAGCAAAGTTGGCTCTTTTGTGTTTTCAATAAACTCTTGTTCTGGAGGTTTGTTCACTTTCACCATGATAAGCATGTCAAGCTAAACGTTGACTTGGAGAATTTTATAAGTCTGTCATCTCTGAGAGATTAAGGTCAGCTACTACTGTGCAGATTTCATAAACCACCAAGCAGATTATTATTTTATAACTCCCTGGTTTCTACAGGGTGAGATCAAGAACATATTTGAAGATGTGACACATCACAATAGCCATAACCTTAACCCCAACGTCTCAAAAGTAATAACCTAAGTACTAGCTTGATTTTGTTTTTGATGTGTTGGTGCTGTTTTCTAGTTTATACCATTCAGTATTAAGTATTATACTGAATTTAATGAAAATTTATTTAAAAGTTAAGGGCAACAACATTTATGCAAATATATAAGCTCTGTGGTATCAATAGATTGCAGATCAACAGCAAATGTTTTATGTCATAGGTGTGAAAACAAATGGATGTGAAATCCATTCAGAAAACTTCATAATAAAGCAGTGAATTGACAAAGAGAAAGTTCTTTGGAGGGTGGCTGCTGCCACTAGTCTGGAGGAGCTGTGTGTTCAGGGCTAGAGGAAGGGTCCTCGGTTAGCAGCTCGACGGGAGCCTGAGGCTCCTAGACAGAGCTTCAGGTAAACAGGCAGCGCGTTGTGGGAGCAAGCGCTAAAGAGAATTTGTAGACCTTCGATTATTTAAGTCACCTTTAAAATCAAATTTTTCAAAGGTGGTAAAAACTGCCCTGGTGGCTGGTTTGTACATTTATAAGAAGTTCTTCAAGGTCGCCTTGAGCCTAAGTTTAGTGAAACAACACCCCTGGGGCTCCATATGAGGCACTACCATAAAAATCTGGCTCAGAGTCAAGAGCAAGTTACAAAATAGTGGGAGAACAACGTCGTTAATGGGCTTGGTCTGTGGATACAGTTGACTGTCTAATTCATAGAAGAAAGAAATATGGGACCCACACATGTAAGTCATCAGGTGAGTCTTCCTCAATAAACCAGCAAAATAGTTTTCCAGATCTTGGCCACACTCTATAGGTTGCATTCTTTGTGTTAGCCAAAAGGTTTAGTTTTTGTCTCATCTGACCAGAGCAGACCACAGTTGTGGCCCATACTCTGCTAATTGGATTACGTCTGAAAGGTTAAACTGGAATTTATTTAGAGGTATTTTAGTAAAGTGGACTGAATACACGCATGATGTTGTATTAGTCCGACTGTAAAATGCTAAACTATGAAAAAAGTAAAAAAAAAAAGGGTATAGAGACCTTTGAAGACCCAAGTTTCATCTTTAAGATCATCATCCTACCTTGTTTGAAATACTGCTAACAATGTCAAACTCTCAGTATGTAAAGTTCTTTTCATAGATTTCTCTCTGTCAGACTCAGTACGTGTTGTGTATGTGAAATCTGTCTCAGGCAAGAAGTCATAAACCTGCAAGCACATGCTGTCCATCAAGCTGGCACATAAAGTTTCTGCAGTGATGTGTGCATTTCACAGTTGCAAGAAAGTAAAGACACACACACACACAGTGAGGTGACAGGCAGACTGGATGTGACAATGCATCAGAGCAAACAAGTGGCTTACAGGCAACTTTTATTGTTGGTGCAAACACTACAACCACACAGCATTAAGCCTTATAAGACCTTCCCATGTCGCTGGAACAAGTGGGATTTATTAAAACATGGAAAGCATTCAGGACGACCGCTGGAACAGAAAGCAGATATTCTGTGAAAGTGTTCCTGTTCGGGAGCGACGGTTATATTCAGACTGCAAACAAGCCGCTCCCTGAGTGTCTGCTGAAAAGGAGGGGAGGAGGTCCGCGGAGAATAAACACCGCTGCCTGCAGAGACAGCGCCGGGCGAGGGGGGGCTGGAGCGGGGCTTGACAGGCCATCACATCCATGTGTCATGGAGCAACAAGACGAACGCTCCGCTGGGACTGAGATGCTGGCTGGGGTGAAAGGTCGCCTCGTGACGCATTTTAGTTCCTTGCCGAATGAGCCACAGCATCTTCAGCAGAGTCCCCACCCAGGAGACTCGCTCGGTGACAGGCGCACCTGACCCTGAGGCAGCTGAAAAACACTCATTTTAAGGGTGGGGGGCTTACGGCTCTTTTATTTTCTCTCTGTGACGTGGGCTCTGCCACCAGCAGAATTATTTGTGCATCCGAATGTTTTCAGCTTTAAGACATTTAGACTTTGAAATGTTCCAGAGAATTTTCATGTGGGAGTAATTGTGGGACAAGCTTGTAGGGACAAAAGGCTATGTCAGCTACCACTGCAGCAAATGGTCGCTCTGTAAGTTATCGATTGGCTCAGGTGAGTGAATACATATTTATGCCACACTTTTCAGATGTTTACTAGTGAAAACGCGTTTTTTTTTATGTCGCTCCACAATCATTCACTACTCTGAGTTGATGTATCGCAAAAAAAATAAAATAAAAATCCCTATAAAGGCATTTTGACATAAAGTGAAAGGAATCCTAGGGCGTGAACTTTTGCGAGGCGAGGCACGGACGACGTTGCCTGCAACTCTTTTAACTCAACTGCCAAGCGGCTTCTGAGCGGATTTCATATCGCAGGCTAAATTAGGAGAGTTACATCTCGAACGCAAGTAATTCAGTCATATTTGTAATGCGTGTTGAGTCACCCTTGATAGCTCGTCTCCCTAAATACCAAGCTTTCACGCAGTAATTTCACTTTTAATCCAACCTTTCCATCCATCTGCAGTCCCCAGATGAGATGACATGCAATTAACTTGAGGGAAGTCCTCCATGAGGGATTAGTGAGTCTCGCTGACTTTCATGCGCCCTCTGTGACGAGTAAAAAGGACAATTCCGGTTCATTCATTAGGAAAATAGAACTCATTTAAAGCGAATAAAACATTCCGTTAAACAGCGGATCTGAAGAGCTAAAACAAGCTTATGAATTAATCATATGATCCCATCATCGCAGAGAGACTGTGCTCAGAAGGAGACTGGAATAAGAGGCAGTGTTGCACAGGGACAAGCCCTCCCAAGATGGAGCTCTTTGATGAGTCCAGAGGGAGGACAGTGACAGGGAGGGAGGCAGGTTACCTCACAGGTTACCATCTGCCCGCCTGGCTCACTGGCACACAGGTCTGAATCTCAAATTCCTGCGGGCCACGGACTATAGGGAGGGCTGACTGGATGGCAGGCTGGATGTTCCTCCTCACACAGCTCCCACTGTCTCTCTGTCCGTCTCTCTCCGTGTTTGCTGGAGGCTGCTGCCAGGATCGCAACCTCATTCCTCATCCCGCTGCTCATTCTTGCCCCTGTCTTTGGCGAGTCAACATTCCCAATTGGTCACTGCCAAGTCAAATATCCGCCTCTTCTCTGAACCTGAACACCTGAGTTCATCCCTGCTTTATAGTGTAAACAGATATAAGTGTTTTTCCTGACCTGGAGTGGAGTATTAACAATCTGACCCCCCCCTATGAAAAACAGCATTGGAGACAGCTTTGTAAACAGAATTAATGCTTTCTGTGTTTGTTTTCATTACAACTACTCACTCAGTGTGCAAACACACACACAAAAGTGGATTTTTCAATATGTGTCCATATGGAATAGGTGAGTCTCACTCCGTTTGGATAGTGTCTTCTGTGAACAACAGTTCTTACCACAAGTTCTCAGTTGGATTAAGATTTGGACTTTTATGGGGATATTCTAAGACATAACCTGTCTGCTGTGCTCCTTGGTCTTCTTTGTTTTTCATTCATAATAAAAGGGGATGCACACATTATTTTTCAAAAAATATCGAGACAACTCATCCTTTGTTTCACTACTTTGTCTGAGTCTATCAAATAAAATTCTACGCCGATTATGAAAAGCTCAAGCTGTGTTACTTTTCCAAGGCACTGTAAATAGGTGTGTCATTTCTTGTTATTTTTTTATTCGTGTTAACTGCTCTGTCGTCGATGTTCACCAAAGCGGAGTGAAAAGAAACCAACCAGACTGCAGACTGAGCCGCGTTTTACACAGAACAAGACAGGATGATACCCAATTAGAAGAGGCTGCTGTGGAGGCAAATGACAAACAGCCGTTGTTTTTATGTCACCGTTAATTTTTCCACCCAACCTGAGTTAAGTCTCACTGGGAATTTACTCAGCTGAAATAATGAAGCTTGTTAACCCTCGGCTGCTGACAGAGGATCAGCCGAAGAGCTGACTGCTCAAGGTGATCTTTGAGAGCAGATGCTGATCCAGATCGAGGTTCAGGTTCGGCCCCTTCTCCCCTCAGGCATTTCATGTGAACTGGCATGAAACGTTCAGTTAACGGTAGTTAACAGACGTTATTGGATGAGCTCACTTTTCACCCTGCCATGCAGGCAGAGCCGGTTAGAGAGCGGGTGGAATGTGAACCGCTGCCTCTTTGTCAAACCTGTTTCTAGCGATAAGATTTGCAGTGCTGAGGGAATGTTTGTCTTGAGAAATACCGTCAAACATGTAGGATGAGATTCTGGTCAGACCAAAGTAACTCTGCGGTGAAACATGGTCGCAGCAGAATGTTTTTGATCAGAGTTGAAAGGAAGATCAATAGGGGCCAGTCCTGGAAAAAACGTCTCCAGAAAACTGAGATGAGGCCGGGGGTTCACCTTCCAGCAGGACGAGGACCCTTTACCGTGCAGGCAGAGCTACAGCGGCTTACATCAGAGCAAATCCTTTCTTAGATTGGCGGACAGCAAATCTGACTGAGCTTGAGCAATTTTACACAGACAAATTGAACAAAATTGAACAACTACAGATGTACTAATCTGGTAGAGGCTAAAAGGGCTGAATGCAAATGGACACCTCTCACATTGTGTTTGCACAAAACAAATACATAGACTGTCCATCGTAAACATGAATCTCATCAAATTCTAAAACAATACTGATTTTATAACAAATAAATGTATCCAGTAAGGAGGAAGATTTTGAGTCAGATCGAAATGTACACAAAATATGAGAAACTTTTTTTTAATGTTTATTTTATGCCCATGTCCGGCTTCATGGGCATAAAACAATTTATTCTATTAATAAATGCATTATCTAAAGTTAGACTTTAAGTTTACGGGATCCAGAGCGTCGCGTTTCCTCACCGTCTCTCCGAGGAGCCTGCAGCACCGAGGCATCTCTGATGGCATGAGCCCATCTTTCAGCCTCCCGGAGGTTGACGAGCGGGTCCTGCACTAGGGCGACCCGAAAGCACTGCTCCACCCTCTGCCGGGCCACTCCGGTGCTCATCCAGCGTCTCTTGAACGGGTAGAAATAAGCCGCGAAGTACGCGCCGACGTCCGCGCCGTCTGGCCCTTTATACGCCCGAGAGCCGATGCAGTCGCTCAAGTTGAACACCGCCTTCGTCCGGTCGGGAGACGAGGAGATCCTCTGGACGGTCAGGGCGCTCTCCGTCAGGCTCACCGAGTAGCGCACCCCTTCGTGGAGAGTGTCGGTGAACTCTCCGTACAGCGCGCCCGAGAACCCGTTGCACTGCCGGGATGGGTCCGGCGCTGAGGCGTCTGTCTCCATCCCGGACGGAGAGTGAGACGCGTCCCGGAGGCCGGTGCCGAGCACACTCTGAACCTGCCAGCCTGCCGTGGGACCGTTTAAACGGGAATGGGCGCAGCCTGCCTGATTCACCGCCTCCCCCTACCGTCTGTGAGGGGAATTACAGCAAAGGAGCAGGAGGAGAGGCGTGCACACCGTCCCACCTCTTCCTCAGGAATACTTCAGAATTACACCTGCTCTGCTCTGCTTGCTGTCATTAGTTTGATGGAGCAATAACATTTGAAATGGTTGCTTTTTAAAAAAAATTATTTTGTTTGTTGTTTTTTTACCCGAAAACATCCTTAAATAGTGGATTTGGGCAGTGATGGCAGTCACTTAGAAAAAGTAACTTGCCGTATTTTCCGGACTTTGAAGCCTCACTGTAAAAGTAAAAAAAAAAAAAAAAAAACAACTGGAAACGCAAATATATAAGCCTCACCGGGCTATAAGCCGCTGGTATGTCCATCGCTCTCGGTTTTCCACAAGGAAAATAAATTTGTTCATAAAGTCGCAGCTCTCGTCTCCAACGCCACCGTGGATTCGTTCACGCCGAGCTTATATCTGTATTGATCTGTAATGCCAGATCAATACGAACCTGAAGTTGGTTTCCGTTTCCAGCTTCCATTTCGACAAATGGCTAAAGGGCGATTCCACCTAATTTTTCCACTGCCTTCCGCATCTTTATTTGACTCAAGATTAAAAACTACAACACCTGGACTCTTCAAACCTAGATTATGTTAATCTGCTCTAATAGCAAAATATTTAAAACTATGTTTGTGTTTTGTGAAACTTTTATCTGATTTGTGAAACTTCAATAAAGGTTGATTTTACCACTTTTTCCATTTGGATCCTACTGGAACTGCTCCAGCTCCAAAACTACACCAAACTTCAAAGCTAGTCTAAATTATTCCCAACTAATAGGGGAATATTTAGAAACATGTTTGGGATTTGCGAAACCTTTTTCTGATTTGTGAAACTTCAGTAAAGGGTGATATCAACACTTTTATTTATTTATTTATTTATTTTATCTTGGTCACACAAGAACTGCTCTAATTCCAAATCTACAACACCTACATTTGAATGTATTTGAAGTACTGAGAAAAAAATCACAGCAGATTACACCTTCGCACGACTCGTTTCAATTTGATTTAGCTTAAATACAACCATCAAAGCCTAACTCATTCTAGTTCATTTACAACTGATAGAATAAAAATGTAAACCGCCAGCATGCAATATTAATAATGTAAATGTGTATGGGAGAAAAGTATGCACTAAAAAAAAATCATACTTTGAAACAACTTTGCTAAATAATTTCAGACTTTTCAGTTTTGTTGTTATCAAACACAACCCGTGACATCATTTGTCATAAATGCATATAAATAAACCACAATATAAGGGTAAAATTCACAATGATCACATGAATCTTTGTTTTTCAGAGTTTATGCAAATAGTCAATCAATAAGCAATCATAGTCAATCGATAACAGTCCAAATAACAGATGAGCTAAGAAAACGCCAAATACCGGTATTTATGTCAAATGTAGGTATAATAAACTAAACATATGTTGTTATGGTTTTTTCTTCTTTTAGCAAAAAGTAGCAACTTCAAACTGATTTTTTGCCCCTAAAAGAAACGTAATACATCACGTGATTTGTGACGTTTACAACGTATAAGAACCGAACACCGCGAGAGTTCAGACGCTCCAGATTTCTCCTAAGGGAAGCGGAGGAGTCTGTGAACATGGGCGACTTTGTAACAACGATTATAGCCGTACAGCTGAACTTGTCTGATAATGTGACGCCCTCCAGAGACGACCCGCCTTAAATAGGTACATTTTAAATAATTGACTATTAGTGTAAAGTAGTTAATTGGCTGATAGATGAAGCACGTGTCGCTGCTAGCTCGTCGCTAGCCCGGCTACCACGTGTTAGACTGATGTGCTGCTCACTCTTCAGGTTTCTATGTGGAGACGTTGCTGAAGACGTAACTTTGAGAAGGTAAAACATCCGGACAACTTGTGATTTTTTTTCTTCTTCTTCAGTGCATATGACGAGTTTGTTATCCCTGTCTGAACCAGTGTTGTGGAAATCAATGCTGTCTGATCTGCTGCAGGGTGACGTGTAAAGAAGAGAGTGTTCACGATGGAAGATCAATAATGTCATATCTTGTTGCAGGGCGGTGGAGATGATCCATAAGTAGGAAAAGGAGGTGCACAACAACAACAAAAAGGTTTGTCCTGCACCATTTGTGTTATTCATTCTGCCACCTCTTCAGTGATGAAAGCTGCTGCATAGGAAGTGCCGTCTGATGCGACAACTGACGATGATTCAGTGCTTTTCTGAGAAATGAAATACTTGAGCCTTAAGTATATTCTAATAACACAATAATCAACAGGTTGTATCTTTCCTAGGTTCATGGACATCGGTTGCAAGAGCTGAAGTTTTAAGACCAGTCTGGGCTCCCGAGGTCCCTTGTAAGTTTTTTTTTTTTTTAAGATATCCTTATAATTTTAAATTAAGCCAGTGATGATAAAAGTTATCCCTGTCTGAAAAATAATTCTGTTGAGTTCTGGTAACCTGAGGCTTGATTCATAGCACCATGCATCGTATTTCTATGAATCAATAAGATATCAATCAATAAGATATTTTATAATATTTGTCTTTACAGATGGAGCTGGCAAACAAGCAAGAGCAGTTTGAAGGAATCATTCTTAAGCCTGACGCTTAATGAAAATTGAGAGCAAAATGTTGGAATGAGCCAAACCACATGTACTGAAAAACTTTATTTAAAAACTGTACAGATATAATAAAAATCCAAAGAGGCAAACGGATCAGCAGGTTTTACTGTCGGTGTTGAACTTGTAGGATTTCTTCTTTAGATTTTCTAGAAAAATCTGCTCCTCAAGGAGGAATTCACGATCCTGTGGGAGAGAAAATGTGAAGCCTTTGGTTTCTGAAAATGTATAAGAAAAGCTCTCGTGTAAAAAAAAAAAAAAAGACTTTTTTTTTTTTTTTTTTTACCAATTTTCTGAAAATAAAAAATTTAATGGAACAAATCTCTGGCTTAATTTGTTTAATTCATCTGCTGACAATATCTGGCTCTTAGAGGCCACAAAATAGTTTTTATGCAATGTCTGCATAAAATATCTGCAACCAGAAAGCTTCACATTTATTTTTTTTTAAGTTTTGAAGTGCTTAGTATTAAGTGGGCTGCCTATGATTTTCACATTTATGGAAAGTTAACTCAGTTTCATTATGCACAACATTTGTAAATGTATAAAATCTTGAACTATATATCCATTTTGGTTAGAGTACGTTAGCTTTCATGACATTTATGAAGTCACTTTCTGAAATTTGAGATTAAGATTATGGCAGTTACCATAAGACTTCCAGGATAAATTGAAATTTGTATGCTGAAACTTGTTTTTTCACTCTGTGGTTTTAGTGAACTATTTCAGGAGCATTCCTAAGTAGAACTCACTTGACAGAGGTTCAAAATGTATGGAGAGCAAATTTTTTTTCAGGCTGCCTCCTAATAAGTTTTCTAATACTTTTAACCATCTTTCAGTCTTTAATTTGTTTACTGTTGTCACAATATGACCGTAAGAAATGGCGGCATTCTAAGATTTGTATTCACTCTTTTAAAAGCTGACAAGAAAAAAAAAAGTGAATTGTGACTAGAGAAAAACCAGTTACCTTTTCTGCTGTGTACTTCCACAGGGCCAGACTGGCCTCAAGCGTCATGGACTGATAGTTGTCCAGAGAATTTGAAGGATTATTCCTGATGGATGTTGTCGGTTCAAGGAAAGAAGGAAACACTGGAACAGAGTCTACAGAAGGAACTAAAATATTAAAATTAGTTTTTTTGTCTATTTATATATAAATATACATCTTCAATCAGACATTCAGTCAAACCTGTTAAAATAGGTGGACTAATATGAGGTAAAGGTGAGATGGTGGAATATTCCCTAAGCCTTTCTGTATCTTCCTGTAGATGTTTTCCTCGCATGCGCTCCTGTATTAAGTGTATTAAATAACATTTAATAAAAGCGTTTTTTTAAGACGGGTTGAGGTCTTTGCTTTGTGCAATGACACCTTTAGGATCCGCTGCTCCTGCTGCCTCAAATTCTCAGTTTGAGACTGGATATTTCTTAGTCGAGCCACATGCTCCGACTCCACGCGTTTGGCCTCTAGCAATGCTCGCTCGCCCTCCTCATACTTCTCTGCTGCAAGCTGTGAAAACAAAACAGTCAAAAACTCAAACCTTTTGATGGCTGTGGCAGTCAGTGTGGGAGGAAATCACCTTGCTGAAGGCCTCAACCTCTTCGGCTCTTGTTTTGAGTCTCAGAGCCATACTACTGGCTTTCTCCTTCTCTCTGTCCAGTTCTTCCTTTAGTCTGGCAAGAGTCTCTTTCTCTTGTGTCATGACCGTCTCCTTCTGCTTTAAGTCAGCCATGCGAAACTTCAAGTCAGCCTGTTCCTGAGAAACAGAAAATGCATTAATGGAAATCTGGATTTCCTTTCCTCTTAAAGTTCAGTAGTCTGATCAAGCATAAAAAAGGGATTGTGTGACTCACTTGTGCCAGACTGATGATGGATCCTTCTCTCCTCTCCAAGAGGCTGTTGACCTCCCGTTCGGCTTTGTCATGCCTCTGTTTTTCCTGCGTATGGAAGTGAGCCCACTCCGCTGCCAGTTTTCTCCTCTCCTCTGCACAATGCCGCATCACAGACTTCTGCTCCTCCAGCAATGAGCTCTAAAGGGCAGAAAGACGTGGTGAAGCTGCACGGCAACTGCTAATACCTCAATTACAACTGAGGTGCTTGTCGGCCTCACCTTTGCTCTCTCCAGCTCCTCCCTCTCCATGTTGATCTGCATGGTGAAGACGCGTCGCTCCTCTTCCAGGGCCCTCTGGGTGGAGTCGGCCTTGGCCTGCTCCGCCGTTACTTTCCAGCGTTCCTGAAGCAAATAAAAGCTAGCTTCACAACGATTTTGAGGATCTACAAGAGCAGTCGTAGCAACACATTTCGACCACAACGACGATTCCCCGATACAGTCTGCTCACTTTCTCCAGCTGCCTTTGCTGCTCGCTGATCTGAGAGTCCATCCTTGAAATGATTTCCTTCAAGTACGTTCTCTCCTCTGCCATGGCTTTCTGCTGCTGGGCCAGACGCTCCTGCATTGCTGGAAGATTTGGAGAAGTCAAGTGCTTAAACCTTGAGCTAAAAGCTCAAGTTTTAGAGCTTTTGCCCGTTCAGTGTGGATGTACGTACTTCGAAGCTGCTCGTCCCGGTGTCGTGCCCCTTGCTCTAGGCCTTGGGCAGTGTGCTCGTGCGTGCTCTCCACTCGAGAAGAGAGCTCTCCGAGCCGGGAAGAGAACTGCTCCATCTGCTCAATCACCCCTGCAAGAGATCTGTGCAAACGTAACGAGGAAAGTAGACGTGGGTTAGCGTGGAAGTTGTTCTGAGAAATATACATCAGGATAGCAAGAAAATGATTTAAAACCTTGCATTTTAAGGTGATAGAAAGAAATGACATTTCCTATGTCCTGACTTGTTATGACAGGACATAGGAAATGAGAAGAAAATGCAGAAAATGGAAGGTAATATATGACCAAGTCTCACCTCGTCTGAGATGTTGCGCTTGTAACAGCATCGATCTCTTCGTCCTTTAATCTCTTCAACCTCTGAAGCTGCTCTTCATGGTCTTTTTTCATCTCTAAGATCGATTTTCTAGAAAGAACAATAGGATAAAAGTACCAAATACAACAATCATGAAAGTTCTGACCCACTAAAATACATGGTGATTTATATGTGTAGGACTGCACACAGTATTCAAAATAGATGCCGTTTCTGTTTTGGGCTCTTTTCTTGCTTAAATGCTTCCAGCTTACCTTTGAAGATCTCGGAGCCTCTCCACCTCTCGGTCTCTGTCCTGTTGGGCTTGCGCCAGCTTTCGGTGGTACTGAGCCTGCAGCTCTGAGCGCTCCTGCTCGGCTGACCTTGTTAGCGTAGCCAGGCGCTCCATTAGCTCCTCGCACTCCAGCCGAGCTCGGGTCTCTCTTTGGGCCGCTGACTCCTCCAGCAGCTTCACACGAGTTCTTAAAATAAATGCATACAACACTTGCAAAGCACACGCTACTTTAAATGCAGAGAGTTTTTTTTTTTCCCTTTGACTCGACATGGATTACCTGTGTGTGTTCTCCAGGAGCTGCATATTCTGCTTATGCCTGTGTTGGACGTTCTCTAAAATCATCTGGCTTTGGTCCCGCTCCAGCTGCAACATCTTCACCTGGAATGTCAGATTTGTGTTCAGGGCAGTGAACCCAACCGACGAAGGAAAAGCGACGCCTGGCGAGCGGTTACCTCTCCCTCCAACTGGATGATGCGAGCTTGTAAAGCCTGACATTCTCCATGCTGCTGCTCCTTCTCTTTAAGTCTCTGCAGAACTCCTGCATCAGCAGCACTACCCAGACCCAGCAACTGAGTCTGCATCATCTTTAGAAGAAGAGAAGCCGAATCAAGAAGAATCCAATGTAAAACTCTACCAGCAGAGGAGAGTGGATATGTCCTTACCTGCTGCTGTAGTAGCAACTGCTGAAGATTGTCAGCTGTATAAGACACCTATTCAAGAGGAGGACAAAGTAATATTAAGCTTCATTTGAAAATCATCTGATTTTGGTCCTGCCAGATGGTACAACAGTACCTGTTGTTGAACGGTAGAAGATGTTCCCTTTGTTGGGCTTTGCTGAGGACTTGCTGGCAAAAACACAGTAATAAAAGTCTTCACAATGAATATTCAAAGACAGTGTCAAAATGAAGAAGTAAGGCTGCCACTCCCTGCAATATTTTGTTATTTTTGTCACATTATAGTCATATTTTTATGTATTTATTGGGATTATATGTGACAGACCTACATAAAGTAACACAACATCATGTTTAGACATAAACATGGTGTATTCAGGGGTCGTGACGCATCAGTTTTCCAACACGAATATTGTTTTCCAAGTAAGGCAAAGAAAATATCAGTTTTGATCTTGTTTGTACATTGAAATTTGTAGCCGTAGAGTGACAAAATGTGCAGGGTGCTGTAATTAACTCAGTGGCTCCCCTGCGGATACCTACACCACACTGTGCAAGGAAGTACAGCAGAAGAAGGGCCTGGTAATCCTGGCTTTTGCAGAGGTTCACATGAAGTGGGCTCCCTCGGCCTGTCAGATCTCTCGCTTGGAGCTAATTGGCTGAACTGAGACTGAGGATGACTATTTCCTGCACTGGAACCTACTACAACGCTAGCAACCTGAGGGGGGCGATCAGGGGAGTGAAATGAGCTGAGAGTGTGATGAAGCGGAGGGGCTGCTGGGGATAAGGGGACGGGATACTGAAGTGGGTGAGTGGGAGTGGGTGAATCTGTGTTTACAGTTAAAGCTGACTGGTACGAGGAAGAATTAATGCCATCTATTTGGGGGAGGGAGGCACCACGAGAAGCAGAACGGAGAATATTTTTGGTCTGATGATCAGTATTAGGTTTTATTTAAATGAGTGGATGAAAGGCAGAGGAGGTAAATACCTGGTCTTGGCTTTTCCTCTCTGATTGGAGTGGAATGAGCCACAGGACTGAAACAAAAAACGTTTTATTAAAGAAGAGAGGAAAGATCTGATCTGATGTTAGAAGATAACGATCTTACCTGGTGTCTCTGACAGATGTGAATGTTTCCTCTCTGCCTCTGAAAGGTGCGTCCATATCTTGGTTACTGGAAAAAGGATTGTCATAATGTTCAATACTAAGAAACGCAACCTATGATGTCAGCCAGTGTATTTCTCAGCGCGATACCTG